AGTGATTTGAGGTGTGGGCCGGAATAATTTGAGGTGTGGGTGGTGTGATTTGAGGTGTGGGCCGGAGTGATTTGAGGTGTGTGTGGTGTGATTTGAGGTGTGGGCCGGAGTGATTTGAGGTGTGGGCCGGAGTGATTTGAGGTGTGGGCCGGAGTGATTTGAGGTGTGGGCCGCAATGATTTGAGGTGTGGGCCGCAATGATCTGAGGTGTGTGTGGTGTGATTTGAGGTGTGGGCCGCAATGATTTGAGGTGTGGGCCGCAATGATTTGAGGTGTGTGTGGTGTGATTTGAGGTGAGGGCCAGAGTGGTGTGGGATATTCTCTACTCCGTGTGTCGATCTGGTGAATGTGTGTGATGAGTGTGGTGTGTGGGTGTGGTGTCGTGTTGGTTGCTCGGTGAAGTGGTAAATGGAGTGGGTGGTGTGGTGTGGGTTGTGCTGTGTGGTGTGGGTTGGTGGTGTGGGTTGTGTGGGGTAGGGTGGTGTGGGTTGTGATGTGTGGGGGGTTGTGGGTTGTGTAGGGTGGGGTGGTGTGGGTTGTGTTGTGTTGTGAGGGGTGGGGTGGGGGTGTGGGTTGTGCTGTGTGGTGTGTTGTGGGTTGTGCTGTGTGGGGTGATCACGGTGGGTTGTGCGGTGTGAGGTGTTATGGGTTGTGTTGTGTGGGGAGGTGTGGGTTGTGTTGTGTGGGGTGGTGTGGGTCGTGCTGTGTGCTGCGGTGGTGGTGTGGAGTGTGATGTGTGGGGTAGTGTGGGGTGGTGAGGGGTGGTGTGGGGTGAGTGTTGTGCTGTGTGTGTTGGCGTGCTTTGTGATGTTCATTTTGTCTCCAAAAAGTTATTTTAAGAATATTACACCACAGTCAATAAGCAACAACAATATGCTAAAACACACACACACACACACACACATATATATATATATATATATATATATATATATATATATATATATATATATATATATATATATATATATATATATATATATATATATATATATATATAAGGGGCGTAGCGAGGGGGGGGGCGGGGGGGGGGGGGGGCGGACCGCACCGGCTGACACCATTTAGGGGGGTGACACCAAGGCAAAAAATAGCAAAATATATAGAGAAAAACTTGAGGGGGGTGCAAATCGAAAGTTTGAAGGGGGGGGGGGGTGCAAATCGAAAACTTGAGGGGGGTGCAAATCGAAAGTTTGAGGGGGGGGGGTGCCGCACCGGGTGACACCCGACCCCGCGACGCCACTGTATATATATATATATATATATATATATATATATATATATATATATATATATATATATATATATATATATATATATATATATATATATATATATATATATATATATATATCCCTCTCTCTAAATACAATACTCTACTATTGTGTGAGTGTGGACGTGACGAGTTACAGCACCGGGTAACACTTAACCCAGTGACTACACTGGGGGCTGTGGTATAGATTATAGACTGGCTTGGTACACGGCCCAGTACACAACCTGTGATTAACAGTTACTTCTCCATTAGCATTATTAATATACACATGACATACAGTTTTTTTCACTCATTAAAAAAACAGATTGAAAGCAATATCTACATTTTATTTTTACGCTAAGTAAAAAAAAAACCTTTTCATTTCTACCAATAAACTATAACAAACTTAACACAGCTGTCCAAATTTTGACCCAGATCACGAGCAAAATACGCGTGTAAGTGTTGACTCGTGAACTACTGGATCTGCATATTTTCCGAACGTAAACTTCCTGTGTTGAAGATATTGGAGCTGACAGTTTAAAAAAAACCGTGCTATGTGTTATCATCTGCGGCAAGCCACGGTACGGTCGGTCGGTGTAGTCGTAGCCTCTCCGTTTATTTGTTGTGATGATGTCATTGCGGTTTCCAACCTGTCTATGAATTGTAATTTTTACCCGTGTCGCGGCAGTCAAAACACGTTGGGCAATGCATGCTGCTGTTGAGGTTTCAGTAGACTCTTGCTCGAGTTAACAAAGCTATTAAAACAGTGTCTAGTTTTTATAAAACATTTAAAACACATTTTTAAAACATGAAAACAAAAGGGTGACTTGAAACTGAGGTAAAGGGATTGGGGAGGGAGTGGGTGAACTATTTTGGGACATGCGTGAATGCAACTACTACAAACCTTCAGGCGCGGCTATAAAAACACTAAAGCCAACATAGTAACCGACAAATCAATGAATGGGGTCACAATCTAGTGACGTCACACGAGGTCAAGTGTGTGAAAGGAAAATATGTAAGCGGTGCAAGCCCTTGCGTGGTTCGGAGATGGGAGGGAAGGTGGGTGGTGGGCTATTATGAATAGAATTTGTTTTTTTTTTTGTTTGTTGTTTTTTTTTGTTGTTTATTTGTGTTAATTGTATTTTTAATTAGGTCCTTCATGAGAACACGGCGTTGGTACAAAATATTTGTTGTCGAAAATATTTCTTTTTATTTAGATGTATCTTAAAGGGAAACGATGGCTTTAAAGTTTCAAAGGTTACATTTCTGACATTTTATAAATTATAATACGCGTCCTTCGGTGTGTTCGTTAATTTTTTTTTTTTAAATAGCACAGGTACTTATTTTTTTCAGGCGTAAAGGCAGCGGAATAGTATTGATTATAAACTAGATTCTACAACAATATCACAACGTTTATTGAGATAAAAAGTTTTTCATTGAACCTTTTACACATGTCGCTTGGAAGGACCAAAAAAAAAAAATCAGCTCACTGCACGTAGCTCAAACGATTCAACCAATAGAAAGGCAAGACCGTGTAGCGACGTTCAATACACGTGTGTGACGTCTGAATGACGTACCGTAGGCGTGTGTGTGACGTTAGCTTGACGACCAAAATTCGAGTAGAATTATTTGAAGTCATGTTTCACGTCAAGGAATTCAGTTGATTGTGATACTTAGGCCCAATTTTCGTGATAATACATTGATTTTTTTTTAAATTGAAATTATAAATTGCAAAATAATTTAAATAGTTCTTAAAAACTCAATTACATTAAGTAATCAAAATTAATTAGAATTAAAAGGGATATTGGTTTTGTGTAGTGGGGGGGGGGGGGGGGGCGGAGTGGGAGTGCACGCATTACATTGTGTTTTTTTTTTAATTGATGATTGAAATTTGTTTCGTTTGACAAATAAATCCAAAAGATACTGTTGGCTTAACTAAACTATATCTCATGGTTCGGCGATATTGCTTGAGGGGTTGGATGTTAGTTTCCATAGCTTCATATGGTGTCGCGGTAAAATGTTCATGGAGGGGGGGGGGGGGTCGTTCTTATTAGATGTCACTCAGTTGAGTCAGGGGCGTAGCAGCCAGAGTTTCTTCCAGGCATCTCCCCCCCCCCCCCCCCCCGAACGAAATAAAATTTATATAGAAAATATATACTTTTAACGGTGTCCGCCCCCCCCCCCCCCCCCCGGAGAAAAAAGTCTGGAAGAAACACTGGTAGCAGTCTCTTCATGATTTGTGGAAGTATTTCTTTCATTTGCTAGCAACGACTTTGGTATCAACACTGCTGACATCGACCTGATCAAGCAAGAAACCCAACCCAAGGCATACATAATTTAAAAAGAAATGAAATTGAAAAAAAAACTGGCCACAGAGTGTGGATATTGTGAAAATGTTAGTGTTTTGCTGTTAGCAATACAATCCATTCAAATGAGTATGGTGCGCTGTGACCATGTTTAAAACAAATACAAAAGTTTTGTTTTTAAACGAATGAAGAGGTTCCATTTTCTGATCAATTAAAAAAAAATCCGTTCTTTTTCCTTCCCTTTTTGGTGCGTATTCCCCGAGTTAATTATTGAAAGCCCCTCCCCTCGTCATAGAATTTGCCTGTGGAGTGGGGGGGGGGGGGGGGAAGAGAGATTGAGAACTTCGTTTAGATTTTTATTACGTTATTTAAGATTGGAGGTCTGTTTTTTTTCTTTACTAAGTGTGCTGAAACGAGTGAAAAAAAAAAAGGGGGGGGGGGTCCCGACGTGAGGTAATTTAAGTTGACTAAATAGACCAAAATGGTTCTGATAAAATGCGTAATTTACAGATGATGTTATTTTTCGTTTGTTCTTTGACTTGAAGAATGTAGCCTATCTATAAAGCTCTACACATTTGTCTTTTTCCTATAATGGAAGCATATCTTATGATGAGTAGAGACACACAAAACAACGTGATTTTACAATCTGTTCACTCGAACCGTTCCTCCAAGATCTAAATGGAGCCTGCACATGGGATCTATTTTAATGTGTTTTTTTTTAAATAGTTAGATCTGTCACTGTTGACATTAGTAATGTTTTGTTTAGCCCCCCCCCCCCCCAACGGGAAGTAAATCAGTCACCAGCTGTGATTGGGGAGGAGGGAGAGGAAAGGGGAGAATTACTCTCCATGAGTTTTGATTGAATTACATGATGATACAGCAAGACATACACATATATATATCTATTTGATGAACACACGGATATCTAACATGACGATACAGCTACACACAGATCTGTAAGATCAACACATACACACATATATCTGATGATACAGCTACACACAGATAGATCTGTAAGATCACACATATATCTGATGATACAGATACACATAGATAGGCCTCAATAAAAATCTTAGACACAACTGTACTGCAGTCTTGTTTCATAAGAAATAAATCTAGTTGGAAATATTAAATTATTTGTAAAATGTAATAGCAAAAAAAAAGCTATTCTACTGGGATCTCCCCTCATGTAAATATTATTATTTATGTGAAGTTAATCAAACTAATTGCTATCTGCTTTGTCGTGAAAACATGGCAACCCTTTTTGTTATTCACTTCATCAAAATAACCCAGCTGTTATCAGGGATTGATAGAGCTTTATGTCCAAGGGAGGTAACCACTAAAATTATGTTGAACACATAATTAAATAAATGTAAAAAAACAACAACATAAAAGTATATTATTTGTAATGAAAAACAACGCAATATAACATACATATAGCTGTAAAATTTAACACATTATTTAATACATACATGTTTAAGTTAAATTTAATCATATTTTTACAGAACTCTCTACCAGTTTATTACCAGAAAATTATTAAATATTGACCATGATCATGTGCTTTCCATTTTACAGGTATCATACTTCATTTAGATTTAATCATACATAAGCTTTAATCATACATTAGCTTTCATCAAACAACTATGAAATACACTACATAATTTAGCTCCAATCATATGACTGTGAAATTCACTACATAATTTGACTGAAAAACTTTACATCATTTAGCTTCAATACACTACATTTGTAATAGCTCATAAAGTGTATTTATTCTACTTGGTTTAATCAATACATTAAAAAATAAAAAGACGAGCTTTTAATCATCATTAGGTCAGATAATTAAACACACACGCCTCAGCCTCAATTACCTACTGGTCATACAAGTAGTAAGCTACAAAATAGCCATCCTAGCAAGCTAAAACAAATTTTAAAACAACCTACACATTAGGACAACAGTGGTATAGAACATCTTTTATTTACAAATAGAACTTTGTAATTTAAGTAACGGCAGGAATCATTTATGGATGGAATTTTCTTTAAAGATCACATTAGCAAATAGATAGAGAAGAATAGTTTTAAAACTAAATATCTCTCAAAAGGGAGAGATGATTAATTGAGAATATTATTTTGTTTAGTATGTAAAGATTTTGAGACAATATTTTGTTGTTTAGTATGTGAGGATTTTGTGATGTTTTGTATGTGAGGATTATGTGATGTTTAGTATGTGAGGCAGTATTTTATTGTTTAGTATGTGAGGCTTAAGCAGCAGTCAAAGCTCAGTCTTGTGAGTGAGTGCCATCCTCTGAAATACTTTTTGTAACCTTATCTACTTTTGGCTTTAGTGAGTTGATAAATAACTTTTAAAATGCAGTGATACATATGCTATTAGGTGAAGAAATGAGATATATTTTTGTGGTAAAGAAATAAATAAAAGATCAGATATATTTTTATGGTAAAGAAATGAATAAAAGATGAGATATATTTTTGTGGTAAATAAATGAATAAAAGTGAGTATATAAAACATTGGTGCATTAACTTTTAAAATTGCCTGATAATTGCACAGTATTAAATGTGTTATTTCTGTTTCTGACTATAATTTTAAATAAATATTTTCCTAACATTATTTTCAAAGGCGTTATAAAAAACAGCTAGTGTGTTTGAATTCAAGGGAACAAAACCAGTGCACCAAAGATAAAGTGTAAAACAATGAGAGGGACTTTCTAGCAGATCACATTGATCACATCATCCAACTAATCATCTTCAACTTCCTCATACCTGTTTGATAAAAGGAAAAAAGTGTCAAAAACAAAATTCACCAAAAATGTATACAATAGTAATACATTCAACACAGAACCTTTCTTCAACACCTAGAGTCTAGGGAAATTATAATCAGCAAACAAGGTGATACAGTGGTCAAACGCTGATATCTTGAGCTTGAAAATGGGCAGAATGTTTTAGTGTAGATCAAGGAGGCGGAGTGGTCTAGAGGTAGAGAGCTGGACTGCTAACCCTTAAGTCTCGAGTTCGAATCCGGGTTCAAGTCAGTAGACCGTCCCTGAGTCCACCTAACTCGGTTGGGTAGCTAACTCACGTTAGGGAAAGTAAAGGCGCTGGGCATAGTGCTGACCACACTATCTCTTCATTTGCCGAGGTCACAGAAACAAGTTAACGCTACTTCACTTGTCACTATAGACCGCCAGGTTTGAAAAGGGAACTTTACTTTTTTTTACTGTAGATCTTGGTATAAGTCACATTGACTGTTTCATCCTGAGGTTAAAAATAACCTAGATACTCTACTTCTGTGGTATAACTCACCATTAGCTCTCTAAAGAAATTTTAAAGTTATTTTATGGTTTGGTGAGTTATTTATACACTTTTTTTTCAAATAGTATGACTCATTAATTTAAATTATGCTCAACAATCCGTTTTTAGGATAATTTTACTCCCATTTGGTTGGGTCAGCAGTGTCTACACAGGTATGATAGGTAAACTTGTGTCTACACAGGTATGATAAACTTGTGTCTACACAGGTATGATAGGTAAACTTGTGTTTACACAGGTATGATAGGTAAACTTGTGTATACACAGGTATGATAGGTAAACTTGTGTCTACACAGGTATGATAGGTAAACTTGTGTCTACACAGGTATGATAGGTAAACTTGTGTCTACACAGGTATGATAGGTAAACTTGTGTCTACACAGGTATGATAGGTAAACTTGTGTCTACACAGGTATGATAGGTAAACTTGTGTCTACACAGGTATGATAGATAAACTTGTGTCTACACAGGTATGATAGGTAAACTTGTGTCTACACAGGTATGATAGATAAACTTGTGTCTACACAGGTATGATAGGTAAACTTGTGTCTACACAGGTATGATAGGTAAACTTGTGTCTACACAGGTATGATAGGTAAACTTACTTTCCTAGTCTTTTCCGTAAATCTTTCAGCTGATCATTCTTTCTTTGGAGCATTTGTTTTAAATTTTTAAATGGATTTGTTTGGCTCACTTTCTTTTCCAGTTCCTGAAATCAGAGGAAGTTAAGTACCTTTGTTTACCATTGTGCATGATGCTGTGTAGCTGACTTTGGATAAGAAGTTTATATTTTAAACCAAAAGTATGTATGTTAGCTTTAGCGTGATGTGCATGATATTTTAAATAGGAATAGTGTGTGATAATTTGGCAAAGTACAATAGTTTTCATCTAACTAAAGTACAATAGTTTTCATCTAACTAAAGTACAATAGTTTTCATCTAACTAAAGTACAATAGTTTTCATCTAACTAAAGTGCAATAGTTTTCATCTAACTAAAGTACAATAGTTTTCATCTAACTAAAGTACAATAGTTTTCATCTAACTAAAGTACAATAGTTTTCATCTAACTAAAGTACAATAGTTTTCATCTAACTAAAGTACAATAGTTTTCATCTAACTAAAGTACAATAGTTTTCATCTAACTAAAGTACAATAGTTTTCATCTAACTAAAGTACAATAGTTTTCATCTAACTAAAGTACAATAGTTTTCATCTAACTAAAGTACAATAGTTTTCATCTAACTAGAGTCTCAGTGCTTATCTTCAACTAACATCTGTAATAAATATGTCAGAGAAAAATGAGATCTGACCTTCTCCGCTAGCTCTAACATTTCCCTGATCTTTAAGAGTTCATGTTTGGTCTTAGCCATCTCTTGCTCCGCATGTTCTGCTGAAACTTGACCCTTCTGCCTCTCCTAAATACAGGAACATCAATAGAACAATCAACAGTTGTGACAAAATGACAGGAGTGACAAAATGACAGGAGTGACAAAATGACAGGAGTGACAAAATGACAGGAGTGACAAAAACACCAATAAAACTAATACAACTTGGATATTTGAAATTTTTTCATTTTATAATTAACCATTCGACCTCAATGAACCCACTGACAACCCCACTAACTTGATCAATCTGAAGCGCAGCCATCTGACAACCCCACTAACCTGATCAATCTATATCACAGCCATCTTACAACCCCACTAACCTGATTAATCTGAAGCTGTAGCGCAGCCATCTTACAACCCCACTAACGTGATCAATCTATATCACAGCCATCTGACAACCCCACTAACCTGATCAATCTGAAGCTGTAGCGCAGCCATCTGACAACCCCACTAACCTGATCAATCTGAAGCTGTAGTCAGCCATCTGACAACCCCACTAACCTGATCAATCTGAAGCTTTAGTGCAGCCATCTGACAACCCCACTAACCTGATCAATCTGAAGCTTTAGCGCAGCCATCTGACAACCCCACTAACCTGATCAATCTGAAGCTGTAGCACAGCCATCTGACAACCCCACTAACCTGATCAATCTGAAGCGCAGCCATCTGACAACCCCACTAACCTGATCAATCTGTAGCGCAGCCATCTGACAACCCCACTAACCTGATCAATCTGAAGCTTTAGCGCAGCCATCTGACAACCCCACTAACCTGATCAATCTGAAGCTTTAGCGCAGCCATCTGACAACCCCACTAAACTGATCAATCTGAAGCTTTAGCGCAGCCATCTGACAACCCCACTAACCTGATCAATCTGAAGCTGTAGCACAGCCATCTGACAACCCCACTAACCTGATCAATCTGAAGCGCAGCCATCTGACAACCCCACTAACCTGATCAATCTGTAGCGCAGCCATCTGACAACCTCACTAACCTGATCAACCTGTAGTGCAGCCATCTGACAACCCCACTAACCTGATCAATCTGTAGTCAGCCATCTGACAACCCCACTAACCTGATCAATCTGAAGCGCAGCCATCTGACAACCCCACTAACCTGATCAATCTGTAGCGCAGCCATCTGACAACCCCACTAACCTGATCAATCTGAAGCTGTAGTCAGCCATCTGACAACCCCACTAACCTGATCAATCTGAAGCTTTAGAGCAGCCATCTGACAACCCCACTAGCCTGATCAATCTGAAGCTGTAGCACAGCCATCTGACAACCCCACTAACCTGATCAATCTGAAGCTTTAGCGCAGCCATCTGACAACTCCACTAGCCTGATCAATCTGAAGCTGTAGTCAGCCATCTGACAACCCCACTAACCTGATCAACCTGTAGTGCAGCCATCTGACAACCCCACTAACCTGATCAATCTGTAGCTGTAGCGCAGCCATCTGACAACCCCACTAACCTGATCAATCTGTAGTCAGCCATCTGACAACCCCACTAACCTGATCAATCTGAAGCTGTAGTGCAGCCATCTCACAACCCCACTAACCTGATCAATCTGAAGCTGTAGCGCAGCCATCTGACAACCCCACTAACCTGATCAATCTGAAGCGCAGCCATCTGACAACCCCACTAACCTGATCAATCTGAAGCTTTAGCGCAGCCATCTGACAACCCCACTAACCTGATCAATCTGTAGTGCAGCCATCTCACAACCCCACTAACCTGATCAATCTGAAGCGCAGCCATCTGACAACCCCACTAACCTGATCAATCTGAAGCTTTAGCGCAGCCATCTGACAACCCCACTAACCTGATCAATCTGAAGCTTTAGCGCAGCCATCTGACAACCCCACTAACCTGATCAATCTGAAGCTGTAGCACAGCCATCTGACAACCCCACTAACCTGATCAATCTGAAGCGCAGCCATCTGACAACCCCACTAACCTGATCAATCTGTAGCGCAGCCATCTGACAACCCCACTAACCTGATCAATCTGAAGCTGTAGCGCAGCCATCTGACAACCCCACTAACCTGATCAATCTGAAGCTTTAGCGCAGCCATCTGACAACCCCACTAACCTGATCAATCTGAAGCTGTAGCACAGCCATCTGACAACCCCACTAACCTGATCAATCTGAAGCGCAGCCATCTGACAACCCCACTAACCTGATCAATCAGTAGCGCAGCCATCTGACAACCTCACTAACCTGATCAATCTGTAGCGCAGCCATCTGACAACCCCACTAACCTGATCAATCTGAAGCGCAGCCATCTGACAACCCCACTAACCTGATCAATCTGAAGCGCAGCCATCTGACAACCCCACTAACCTGATCAATCTGTAGTCAGCCATCTGACAACCCCACTAACCTGATCAATCTGAAGCTGTAGCGCAGCCATCTGACAACCCCACTAACCTGATCAATCTGTAGTCAGCCATCTGACAACCCCACTAACCTGATCAACCTGTAGTGCAGCCATCTGACAACCCCACTAACCTGATCAATCTGAAGCTGTAGCGCAGCCATCTGACAACCCCACTAACCTGATCAATCTGAAGCTGTAGCGCAGCCATCTGACAACCCCACTAACCTGATCAATCTGAAGCTGTAGTGCAGCCATCTGACAACCCCACTAACCTGATCAATCTGTAGCGCAGCCATCTGACAACCCCACTAACCTGATCAATCTGAAGCTGTAGTGCAGCCATCTGACAACCCCACTAACCTGATCAACCTGTAGTGCAGCCATCTGACAACCCCACTAACCTGATCAATCTGTAGCGCAGCCATCTGACACCCCCACTAACCTGATCAATCTGAAGCTGTAGCGCAACCATCTGACAACCCCACTAACCTGATCAATCTGGAGCTGTAGCGCAGCCATCTGACAACCCCACTAACCTGATCAATCTGAAGCTGTAGCGCAGCCATCTGACAACCCCACTAACCTGATCAATCTGAAGCTGTAGCACAGCCATCTGACAACCCCACTAACCTGATCAATCTGAAGCTGTAGCGCAGCCATCTGACAACCCCACTAACCTGATCAATCTGAAGCTGTAGCGCAGCCATCTGACAACCCCACTAACCTGATCAATCTGAAGCTGTAGCGCAGCCATCTGACAACCCCACTAACCTGATCAATCTGAAGCGCAGCCATCTGACAACCCCACTAACCTGATCAATCTGTAGTGCAGCCATCTGACAACCCCACTAACCTGATCAATCTGTAGTGCAGCCATCTGACAACCCCACTAACCTGATCAATCTGAAGCTGTAGCGCAGCCATCTGACAACCCCACTAACCTGATCAATCTGAAGCTGTAGCGCAGCCATCTGACAACCCCACTAACCTGATCAATCTGAAGCTGTAGCGCAGCCATCTGACAACCCCACTAACCTGATCAATCTGAAGCTGTAGCACAGCCATCTGACAACCCCACTAACCTGATCAATCTGAAGCTGTAGCGCAGCCATCTGACAACCCCACTAACCTGATCAATCTGAAGCGCAGCCATCTGACAACCCCACTAACCTGATCAATCTGTAGTGCAGCCATCTGACAACCCCACTAACCTGATCAATCTGTAGTGCAGCCATCTGACAACCCCACTAACCTGATCAATCTGTAGTCAGCCATCTGACAACCCCACTAACCTGATCAATCTGAAGCTGTAGCGCAGCCATCTGACAACCCCACTAACCTGATCAATCTGAAGCTGTAGCGCAGCCATCTGACAACCCCACTAACCTGATCAATCTGTAGTGCAGCCATCTGACAACCCCACTAACCTGATCAATCTGTAGTGCAGCCATCTGACAACCCCACTAACCTGATCAACCTGTAGTGCAGCCATCTGACAACCCCACTAACCTGATCAATCTGTAGTGCAGCCATCTGACAACCCCACTAACCTGATCAATCTGTAGCTGTAGTGCAGCCATCTGACAACCCCACTAACCTGATCAATCTGTAGCTGTAGTGCAGCCATCTGACAACCCCACTAACCTGATCAATCTGTAGTGCAGCCATCTGACAACCCCACTAACCTGATCAATCTGTAGTCCAGCCATCTGACAACCCCACTAACCTGATCAATCTGTAGTCAGCCATCTGACACCCCCACTAACCTGATCAATCTGAAGCTGTAGCGCAGCCATCTGACAACCCCACTAACCTGATCAATCTGTAGTCAGCCATCTGACACCCCCACTAACCTGATCAATCTGAAGCTGTAGCGCAGCCATCTGACAACCCCACTAACCTGATCAATCTGAAGCTGTAGCGCAGCCATCTGACAACCCCACTAACCTGATCAATCTGAAGCTGTAGCGCAGCCATCTGACAACCCCACTAACCTGATCAATCTGAAGCTGTAGTGCAGCCATCTGACAACCCCACTAACCTGATCAATCTGAAGCTGTAGCGCAGCCATCTGACAACCCCACTAACCTGATCAATCTGAAGCTGTAGCGCAGCCATCTGACAACCCCACTAACCTGATCAATCTGAAGCTGTAGTGCAGCCATCTGACAACCCCACTAACCTGATCAATCTGAAGCTGTAGCGCAGCCATCTGACAACCCCACTAACCTGATCAATCTGTAGTCAGCCATCTGACAACCCCACTAACCTGATCAACCTGTAGTGCAGCCATCTGACAACCCCACTAACCTGATCAATCTGAAGCTGTAGCGCAGCCATCTGACAACCCCACTAACCTGATCAATCTGAAGCTGTAGCACAGCCATCTGACAACCCCACTAACCTGATCAATCTGTAGTCAGCCATCGGACAACCCCACTAACCTGATCAATCTGTAGCGCAGCCATCTGACAACCCCACTAACCTGATCAACCTGTAGTGCAGCCATCTGACAACCCCACTAACCTGATCAATCTGAAGCGCAGCCATCTGACAACCCCACTAACCTGATCAATCTGAAGCTGTAGCGCAGCCATCTGACAACCCCACTAACCTGATCAATCTGTAGTCAGCCATCTGACAACCCCACTAACCTGATCAATCTGAAGCTGTAGCGCAGCCATCTGACAACCCCACTAACCTGATCAACCTGTAGTCAGCCATCTGACAACCCCACTAACCTGATCAATCTGAAGCTGTAGCGCAGCCATCTGACAACCCCACTAACCTGATCAACCTGTAGTCAGCCATCTGACAACCCCACTAACCTGATCAATCTGAAGCTGTAGCGCAGCCATCTGACGACTCATCTCAGAAACTTCTTCTGGTGTTGCCCCAGGCTGTGTGACACAAAAGATTAGGGTAATTTTTTTTTTAATGTGAAGGCTTGGCTCAGTGGTAGAGAGCTTGACTGCTAACCTAAAGGTCTCAAGTTTAGATCAAGAAATAAGTTAACTCTACTTCATCTGCCTTATGAATTATTGGGTTGAAACTGGACCTTTAGTTTTTAATCTTTTAATAAAGAAATATAATCTAGTTATTTCTATTAGAAATAAAATAATTGATCATTTATAACATGTTAATATTATACATAATGGTTTATCAAGTTTATACTATGTCTGCAGAAAAATGTTACTTTCTAATAAAAGGGTAACAATGAGAAGCACATTTCAAACAAAGACACATTGAAATATAAATACAAGAAAGATGTCTGTTGTTTAATGCTAAGAAATAAAGAGTTAAATTACCCTTGTTCCTTAATTATTTGTCATTTTATGCTAAGAAATAAAGAGTTAAAATTATCCTTGTTCCATAATTATTTGTCATTTTATGCTAAGAAATAAAGAGTTTAAATTACCCTTGTTCCTTTGGCTCGAAGCTCAGATTGCAGGCGCTCAAGGTCAGAGGTCAAGGATTTTGATCTTTCATAGTTGTTTGTAAACTGAAAGTTAGAGACAGCAGTTAGCAATTAACAGTCAAAAACATGAGGAAATATTTACACCTAAAGATTGACAGTGTAAATGATATGAGAAATGAAACTATACTAGAAAACTTTTAAAATCTAGAGTTGAAGATGTGTTCTATTGTCATGTGTGATGGCAGAAAGGGTTTCAATTGATTCCTTCAAAACTTTATAATAAAACAAGAACAAATCCAGGTATTATGTTAATGTTACCTAGGCAGTCTTTTATCTTACCCATTTTGTATGAAAGGGGTGGGGTTTAAATAATAGGAGTACTTCAGATAGTTATTTGGTTTATAATCTAGCTTAGAGTAACGTAATGGGATATGTTGTACCATAATCTGATGCTGGATGAGAGATGGTCAAGACTGATTATGGGGAGCTAAAAAAAAACAACCACTTACCTCCTTATCAAACTTAGCGAGTCGTTGCAAGAGCATCTCATTCTCAGATTCTAGTTCATCAATTTTCTGTAAGATACAATTATAAAACTAAGCATGCATGTGTTAAAAAGTACAAAATTTTAATAAATTCCAGGCGTGAGGATAAATCGGACTGTTCACCCGATCAAATTATTTTTACCATATTTAACAGTTGACTACATCAAGAAAAGACATTACCATATTTAACAGTTGACTACATCAAGAAAAGACATTACCATATTTAACAGTTGACTACATCAAGAAAAGACATTACCATATTTAACAGTTGACTACATCAAGAAAAGACATTACCATATTTAACAGTTGACTACATCAAGAAAAGACATTACCATATTTAACAGTTGACTACATCAAGAAAAGACATTACCATATTTAACAGTTGACTACATCAAGAAAAGACATTACCATATTTAACAGTTGACTACATCAAGAAAAGACATTACCATATTTAACAGTTCACTATGCCAAGAAAAGACATTACCATATTTAACAGTTCACTATGCCAAGAAAAGACATTACCATATTTAACAGTTGACTACATCAAGAAAAGACATTACCATATTTAACAGTTCACTATGCCAAGAAAAGACATTACCATATTTAACAGTTGACTACATCAAGAAAAGACATTACCATATTTAACAGTTGACTACACCAAGAAAAGACATTACCATATTTAACAGTTCACTACACCAAGAAAAGACATTACCATATTTAACAGTTGACTACATCAAGAAAAGACATTACCATATTTAACAGTTGACTACATCAAGAAAAGACATTACCATATTTAACAGTTGACTACATCAAGAAAAGACATTACCATATTTAACAGTTCACTATGCCAAGAAAAGACATTACCATATTTAACAGTTCACTATGCCAAGAAAAGACATTACCATATTTAACAGTTGACTACATCAAGAAAAGACATTACCATATTTAACAGTTCACTATGCCAAGAAAAGACATTACCATATTTAACAGTTGACTACATCAAGAAAAGACATTACCATATTTAACAGTTGACTACGCCAAGAAAAGACATTACCATATTTAACAGTTCACTACACCAAGAAAAGATATTACCATATTTAACAGTTGACTACACCAAGAAAAGACATTACCATATTTAACAGTTGACTACATCAAGAAAAGACATTACCATATTTAACTCTTTACAATTCTCAGGTTTAGTAGAAAAATATTGGAGTACACTGGTCTCAATTGTAAAATGTCCACTAGACATTATTAAACAAGGAAAGTATATAGTGTTATGCACCATTCTTTAGGTAATTGAATAGAGAATCAGCAGAGATTAAAAAATCCAATGTAGCAGGTATGGCCTTGATGGCACAATTAATTAATTAATTAATTAAAATTGATTTTACTTTTTTAAAAACAATTACATGAAAAACACCAAGAACAAAAAAAATAAGCCAAGTCCTATAATGAAACAAAGTAATGTTTATTGGATAGATAAATCATTTCTGCATTAAAAAAAGGTTATGTGATGCATTTAGGACAAGAACTAAAAAAAATATACAATAAACAATAACATGACCTGTGTAAGGGGAAATAAGTAAAAAATTTATAAAAAAAGTAATCTGCAAATAAATTAATATAAAATAGGATAAGATTATTGATAACAAAATAAAAACAACAAGATTCAAGAAGATTCATGAAATTATAACAAACAGTTACTCTTTTTGTGAATACAGATATGTATCACAATTGCGACACTTAGTACTGACCCCCCCCATTATTTATTACTTATTTTCCTGAATACTAATTGCTTGATCAACATACAACTGTGTATAATTACCTCCTACCTATGTTCTGCTGTTTACCTTTACTGAACCATAAGTTGTCTCAAAGCTTGACATCACAGACTGTTTTATTATCGCGCCACTCAACTGTTACAATGTCACCCTCGCTAAACCAAAGCATGTCACCTCTTTTTGAAACTTTTTCAAAAGACCTATCTTTTAGGGCAATAAGAAAACCTTTCCAATTTTTATAATTGTGCCACAAAAACCAATTTCACATTTAAAAGATCTTTAAATAGTTTAAGTTTAGTGTACAAGCTGTCAAAAAATAAAAGATATACCTCACGCAAGACTGATTGTGACGATATGGTAACTACATCATAAGATAAGCCAGAGGTGGAAGTCTGTGGTGTCTTGTCTTCAAACATCAGCAAACCTAACAAAAGAACTCATCTATAGATCTATAGTTAAATTTTACCACCTTTTGGAAATAGGTCTTGTAAGTCCACAGTGTGCTGCATAACGGTTGGTATACATAACAATTGTCTTCACCATATCCACTGTAAAGTACAGCTTGACGAAATGACACAGGGCTAAGGGATTCCCTAGCAGCTCTTTTAGTTAAAATGTCCCCATTGACTAAGATGTGTTCCATGTTTCTTAGCAGGTTGGAATTTAGGATCTGGAGGTCCACCATCTACATCAGGATGCTGTCTTGGGTCTGAAATCAAAACATAAAATATATGTTGACTTGGCTAGATGATTTATTATAAATAATATAGGCCTAATACTTAGAATATAAAATAATGTAATAGCTATAAAAACAAGAGAATATTGAAATACTTAAAATATATATTAGAAACTAAGCAACTATAGCTAGTTAACAGTGAATACAAAGCAGAAATATTTAGACAAAGCTACAAGATGCTAGAACATACACTGTAAACAGCTCCTTAGCAACCATTTTTTTTTTATTTACTGGTGTGAATGGTGCATTTTATTTTATTTTTATTTAATATTTTATAAATAATATAAATGCTTCATATTATATCGATATTTCCAGAAGAGGATGGTGTAATTAATATGAGTGCTTGTTATAATGATTAAGTTCATGGTGGGGCAATTTAATTAAAAATGTTCAGTCTTAACATTGAAAAAAAAAAGTTGTCAACTCACCGATGTCAGTCCCTATGTTGTGTTGAGTTATTAACTGAGATATTTCCCAAATCATCGTTTGAATCTTCGAATTCTGTTTCCACAATATCTTTATCAGACGATTCACCACAAAAACTCATATCACTTGCGGTGTTAAACATTTTATTTTCATTTAATTCGAAGAGTCTGTCTCAAATCGACTTCACTAAAAATCCAAAATGGCGTAAGCAAGGCATGCTCGGTTCAAGCGTTTTCTTTCGCTTTTTTTCATAATAAGAAAATAAGTTTCGCATTTTATGTGTGTTTTTATAAATGCTAAAACAATTAGGAAAATAATGCAATTTAAATAAAAAAGCTTAGGGATTATTATTAAAAACTACACATTTCTGCGTCGATCTTATAAGAACGATAGCTAAGGGAGAGAATTGAAAAGAGTTAACAGTTGACTACATCAAGAAAAGACATTACCATATTTAACAGTTGACTACATCAAGAAAAGACATTACCATATTTAACAGTTGACTACATCAAGAAAAGACATTACCATATTTAACAGTTGACTACATCAAGAAAAGACATTACCATATTTAACAGTTGACTACATCAAGAAAAGACATTACCATATTTAACAGTTGACTACATCAAGAAAAGACATTACCATATTTAACAGTTGACTACATCAAGAAAAGACATTACCATATTTAACAGTTGACTACATCAAGAAAAGACATTACCATATTTAACAGTTGACTACATCAAGAAAAGACATTACCATATTTAACAGTTGACTACATCAAGAAAAGACATTACCATATTTAACAGTTGACTACATCAAGAAAAGACATTACCATATTTAACAGTTCACTATGCCAAGAAAAGACATTACCATATTTAACAGTTCACTACACCAAGAAAAGATATTACCATATTTAACAGTTGACTACACCAAGAAAAGACATTACCAGCCAAGAAAAGACATTACCATATTTAACAGTTGACTGCGCCAAGAAAAGACATTACCATATTTAACAGTTCACTACGCCAAGAAAAGACATTACCATATTCAACAGTTCACTACGCCAAGAAAAGACATTACCATATTCAACAGTTGAGTCAGCCCTGTGTCGTTGATTGGGATAAGTTTCTTTGGGATAAATTCCTTATCTTTCTTGGCACCAGAAAATTCTCTTTCTTCAAATTCCTTGATCTGTTCCAGGAGTTCCCTGGTTTTAAAAAAATTATATTTTAACAAGATATTTATAAACAAAATAGTTAAATATCAAAGAAATAATGACATAATCAAAGAAATAAGAAAGTCTATAAATAAAAGAAATAAGAAAACTTTCATGGAAATAAAATCTTTCAAAGAAAAAACCTAACAACTTTATATTAGCAAATACAAAATTACAACTGAAAAGTAAATATTTTTAAGATGGAAAAATGAAGTTGAGAGAGAAAAATGTTTTCCAACTTAAGAGAGAAAATGTTTTCCAACTTGAGAGAGAAAAATGTTTTCCAACTTGAGAGAGAAATGTTTTCCAACTTGAGAGAGAAATGTTTTCCAACTTGAGAGAGAAAATGTTTTCCAACCTGTTTTCCAGTTCTGAAATGTCAGTGGAGAGCTTGAGGTGCCATTTCTCCGCCTGCTGCAGCATCTGCCTGGACATGAGCACATTGGTGTGAGCTGTGTTGATTAGTTCAGACTCAACCTCCGACCTGACCACTGCCAGCAGGCCATCCAGCATGTCGGTCACCTCGTCAATGGTGAATGTCTCATCTGTCAGTCTGTTGATTAGATTTGACATCAATTCAGTTAGGTTAACACTTCTGAACAAACACATTTGATACAAATATAGTTTGTTTAACATTCCTGACATTTCTATTACACATACGGTCACATGTTCAAGTTGAAAAATATTTGACAAGTGAGTTCATTCTCAAGTCAAATATTTATAAGAAAATAATGTTTTAAATAGCTACATCTCAATGAGGCAGGTGAAGAAGAGTTCATCTATTTCTCTGAACTCAGCATCAAAAGGGTAAGTGTGGTCAGCACTATGCCCAGCTACCATTATTAGTAATTGAAGTTGTCTTTGTGTGTAATTACAGATGTCATTTGGAAAAATATGTTGTTCAAACACTAATTGGTTTTTACGAGGCAGAATTTATTTAAATAATACCTGCTGTCTTTCAGTTCTTCAAAACATTTATCAACAGCTCGTAACCGTTGCGCTCGCTGATAACGTGCAAATCGGATGTAGTTAATAACTTGTGTTTGATGATGCTCATTTATTCCAAGCTCCGACTAGGATTACAAAAAGGTAAACAATTATAATCTTGGGAAAATGGATGGTGACTGCCAACATTATAGCTAAAGTACCAAAAAATAATTAGCCAATTTTGTATGTGTTAGTTAAGTGAGATTTAAATATAGTAGAGATGAACAATTTAGTTTTATCAACTTTAAATGTGGAAGATTTTTAAGATATTATTCTAAAGTCATCAGAATTTTTAATCTGTGAAACCTAGTCAAAGGGAAATAACTCCATAAATAAAATTGGTTGTTCCAGAAATCTCAAATAGCAATGGTTTCTCTGTGTTATAATTAATAGTTGTATTAATTTTAATTAACTGCATTGATGAGAAAAAAATTTAAAGTAGGGCATCACATTTTTATTAGAATCTATTGATTTCATGACGAAGCAGTGTCCTCTCACAAGGAAACTACAGATTCAGTGTTGATTGGTGGTTTCTGTTTGATGCTGAGATATGTTGTTTAAATATCCAACACTTGATGCACAACTTTTTCTTTCAAAACATTCTAGTTGGCAGCACACTATGTGGTCAGTATTGCTAGATGTCTGTCACCTCCTTGGTCAGTCCACGTGAGGGTCTGTACATCAAGCTGTCAGTATTTCCAGCTGGGGATCTATAGTCAGTATTTTGAGCCGTGGATATGTCATTTCTGTGGTCAGTATGCTTCTTCTTCTTCGTTCTTAATTTTTAGTGTTGGAAGGGATCAAGCCTTATCTGCCAGAGGGTTTGAACTTGAGACTTTTTCGAATTTATCAATCATGAGCTTTGCCAACTGGACCACGCCTCCATCACAATTATATGTGTCAACTGGTTATGTGCCATTGAGGCAATTGACTCCGATTTCAGCCTGCTTTTCTTTTGGATTTGTTTCCATAGCCTTTGTCCAACCAAGAACAAACTACAAGGCAGCAGTTGTTTGATTTTGGAGTTGTCTCTCCTAGAAGAGTGGCTGTCCCCAGCTAACAAGCCTCATCTGCCCGAGGGTTCGAACTCGAGACTTTTCGATAGCAACCAAGAGCTTTACCGACTCGATCAAGCCGACCCTTTGTCACTGTTGCTATCTGTAGGTCTGTACATTGAGTCGTCAGTATTGCTAGCTGTGGGTCTGTTCATCCTGAGGTCAGCATTGCTTGTCTCAAGCTACTCCATAGGCTCCAGCCTAACTTTGATTAGGTTCGTTGATCCATGTCCAGGTTGGTGTGGTGTTGTACTGTTTTGTTGTACATGATCTTTGTCAATCAAGATTTCTTAATAAGCAGTTGTTTTTTTCTTTGAAGAACTTAGAGTTATAAAAATGTTATTGTCGCATGAGGTAGTAGAGAAACAAACCTTTACCTACTTATTTTACAATAACAGCTTAAAAAATAAATTAAATTAATATAAGCTACAAAACATTGAACATTTTTAATAACTACAAAAATGTATTATTTCAGTTCATAATTTTGTTTGGGCCTAGTATTAGATCTAGATCTATGTCTTAATTTTTTTTAAACAAAATCCAATATAGATCCACTACTTTGAAAATTGATAGATCTAGAATATAGATCTAGATCTAACTGCTTCTAAAACTAATGTTACAGTAATAAAGTAGGCTATAGCCTATAGGCCCTAAATTACAAAATACCTTGCCTTATCTAGAATAATCTAGATTTATTGATTTATTCTAGATCTATAGGCCTATCTAGTGTAATGTAGACATGAGAGAGTCTCTTGGTAAAAATAGTAGGCTTGATCTAGATTCTAGAATAACTAGAATTAGATTAATAAAATTATTAAAGTTGTGAAATAGTCTAGAATGGTCTAGATCTAGATCTAGATCAGTTCAGTAGATGGTGGAAGATTGATTGATAATCGTTTTAGTTTTATATAATAATTTATTATAATCATAATGATAATCGTTATCCACATTATTATGAAATTGAACTCTAGATCTAGATAATGTCTTAGATATTAGATTATTATTATAATATTATTGATAGATCTAGTTATTTATTAATATTTATTATTTATTACAATAAAGTACAAGTACAATATTGACAATATTTATTAGATTTTAATTTTAAGTGATAAGGCAAGGAGTTCAATAATTTTCAAGTATTATTTTATTTACTAAGTCTCCCTCTACTAAAGTAAATAGACTGGCTGGATCTACAATCTGGCCATTTGCTAATTTTTACTGGATATAGATCTAATCTAGATATAGAATCTAGATATATTCTAGACTTTAGATCTAGATCTAGAATCTACCAACCATTTTCACTGGTTGAAGTTTCAGAATTCGTTTAGTTTACGGATGCGATGCACTTTTGAAAGTGAGGCTAAGTGTGCAGGGGTGAATAAAGTAAAAAATATTTTTCAACACGTTTTAATTTTTTTTCACTTAATTATACACACAATGACACTTTATTGTATTTTTTATATATATAAAATGAATAAAAAATTCGACTACCTAATATTGATCGACTGAAAACATGAAATGTATTCAGAGTTGCCAAGTTGCATAAGTTGCCGTCCAGTGTATTTCTAAACTTAAATTTAGCATATTGAACTTAGGCCCTAGTTGCTTGCTCTAGATCAGGGGTCTCCAAACTACGGCCCGCGGGCCGGATGCGGCCCGCGAGGTCCTCTCATCCGGCCCGCGGAGATCTTTTTGTCCCCAGAAAAAACGGTTGTTGGTGATGGCTGAGCAACTGCCCAGAAAAATCAAAGATATGTCTGGAAGAAACTGGCCCCCGAACTGAAATTTGATAGTTAATGTGGCCCTCGGACTGAAAAGTTTGGAGACCCCTGCTCTAGATCAGTGTTACTGAGCTTCCCAAACTTGTTCTGGTATCTGTCAGCACACTAAAGGTAGCTGTCTTTGAATTCAAATTTTGGTTTCTCATTTGTATTTGAATAAGGAGGAAAAACATAGCTTCATGTCGTTCGTTGAAAAAAAATATTGAGATTATTTTAAGGGGTCATCCATAAATGACGTCACGCTTTTTTTGACGATTTTTACCTCCCCCCCCCTCCCCTCCGTCACACGTCGTCACAAAAAGCCAGACCCCCCCCCCTAAAATGACGTCACACCTCAACCTACAACCCCCCTCAAATTAGCAGTTGAATTTTTTTAAAACATCGATATTTTTTCTAAAATCTTATCTAAACTATTACAATTTATTAAAACAGTTATCTAAAATGCGAAATAACGTCTAAAATTCGTTTTCTAACATTGCTTTTTTATAATGCAAAAATGTGACGTCGCAACATCTGACCCCCCCCCCCCTCCACCTCATCACACATCGTCACAAAATTATGGACCCCCCCCTCCCCCCTACGAGTGTGACGTCATTTATGGATGACCCCTAACTGACTAGGTCTAGATCTAGGTCTAGATCTATATACGGTTAATAATAAGCAGGGACAGAGCCAATTGTGAAGATGAGGGAGGTGGAAATTTTGGACGTCAATCGAGTAAAAATACAATGCGCCTTCATGTGTGTATGTGTGTTGAATGTAATGACGTGTAGTAAAATGGGGCTGGATTAGCAATCACAGAACATAGTGTGTGAAATTATTTATGGTCGACAATTTATGGTAGCAATTAATTTTTAATCATAATATTATTTTCTATGTAATTTTTTTCCCAAATAAATAAATAAAATTGAAGCTATCGGTTAGTTAGCTATTCATATATTTTTCATGCATATTTTAATGACTCGCTTTGTTAATTTCTACACAACCCATACATGTCTACTACACACGTACATCGACTGTAAACACAACACAAACGCAGACAGGTACACCGTTTTCAGAATAAAGTGTAGCCAATAATCCGCGAGTTGCATACACAAAAGAAGAAACAATGAGGGTCAATAAGGTAGACCAGATTCAGTGGCGTCGCTAAGCCGGGTTTTACCCAGTGCTGCACCTCATGGTGTCACCCCCCCCCTTTTCTCTTTAAACTTTGCAGTTAATGTCCCCCCCCCCACCCACTCCCTCCGGTAAAAGCTTTAAAGTGTTCACATTCAATACTAATGATGTTTATCTATAAAAAAAATTTTTTACAGTTTTACTAAAACAGGAAGCCTACTAACAGTATTCTTATACCTTTACTAATTATTTAGCTATTTGGCAGCAACAATGACTTGGTAGACGGGAGTAGTTTGTATATTGCACATATTAAACAACTACAAGGACAACACGTGCGTTGAATAAATTAACTGTCCACACCGCCCTGACGTCACTAGGTTTCATCCTGACGTCACTAGGTTTATCCTGACGTCACTAGGTTTCATCATGACGTCACTATCATCCTGACGTCACTAGGTTTCATCCTGACGTCACTAGGTTTCATCCTGACGTCACTAGGTTTTATCATGACGTCACTAGGTTTATCCTGCCGTCACTTGGTTTCATCATGACGTCACTAGGTTTCATCCTGCCGTCACTTGGTTTCATCATGACGTCACTAGGTTTCATCCTGCCGTCACTAGGTTTCATCCCGTCCTCACTAGGTTTCATCCTGCCGTCACTAGGTTTTATCATGACGTCACTAGGTTTCATCCTGCCGTCACTAGGTTTTATCATGACGTCACTAGGTTTTATCCTGCCGTCACTAGGTTTCATCCTGCCGTCACTAGGTTTTATCCTGCGGTCACTAGGTTTCATCATGACGTCACTAGGTTTCATCCTGACGTCACTAGGTTTCTTCCTGACGTCACTAGGTTTCACTAGGGCGGTAAGAACGGTAAGCACCTGAAACAATTTTTTTTTATTTTTGTAGGTCCATGGGCGGGATTGGGTGGGGCAGGAGGTTGTCTCAATCACAGACTGTTTGACGCAGCTCAAAATTTTTGTTTACATCCCTCCTTTTATAAAAAAATATATTCCCCACAAATAATAATTAGATTATAAACAGGTTTAAATAAGTGTGCAATAAAAAGAACTGAAAATGTTAACTAAAGATTTTGCTGGTTTAGACCCTGGTGGATACACACTTCATTTCAAGTTCCAACGCTGGTCCTTAAGTCAACTGAAGTATTTAAGTACAAGTTTATTGCCCTTTGGCAAGAACTGCATGGGTGACGCGCATAAAAAGGAATACAAAGTCAACACAGTCTCTTGTTAATCCTGCTGGGTTAACGTTAAGTTTTAGTCCGCGAGTTGCCTTTCGCTTATAACACATAATCCCCTGCCTCTGTATAGTCAGAGTGCGGACGTATCTCAAATTTTTAAAGTCCTGGTCCGATTTCTAGATCTGGCAGGTGACATATTTCTTTTGTCTTGTTGCCAACTAATTCTTTAAAAAAAATTCTGGAGCTCTCCTAACATTCTGAAAGTTAAAGTTGTACACTGAGACACGAATTTGATTCGTTCTGTAACCTCGTTGATCTACATCAAATTACTCGTAACTCAAAGCAGTTTCCCATTAAAATTAATTAAAATGCGGTTAGTCCGCAACAACCACTAAGATGCCGCCATACTTGATTTTGTTACGTGTTTTTTATAAACAAAAATGTAATTATAAATAACAAATGATGTATAAAAACATAATGAAAGAGAATGCAAAGAAACACTCTGGTTTTCAATCATCTTTCAGTACTGCTTTATGGCTCCGATACATGGAGAATACCAATAGAATACCGTCCTTCACAAACAGACAGCAAATCCTAAATATATGGTGTTTCGATTTGTTCTTTTCCACAAAGTGTGAAACCCACTGATTCAGCTTTGTTCTCATTTCAAAGCAAAATATCGCTCGTATGTCAGGGCAATCGAATGCAGAGGTACCACTGTGTATCTAATTAACAAAAGGCGACTCCCATTATAGTTTATGATTCATAGATGTTATTCTAAACAATAGCTTCAAAAACATACAGCGAATGTGATGATATTATTAATACTAATTATTTACGAACATTTACTTAATATAGATTTGGTTTTAACTGATATTTTAATTATAATTAAGAATATTAAGATTAACTTGACAGACTTGTTCTACCAATTTGTAAGCCTAACTAAAATGTGTGTTGTATAGAAGCGGATTTTTCTTCTTGCTCTACAAAGCTCAACTAACTAAATTATTTCTTTTGAAAAAATAATTTAACATCATTAATTATTTCTAGATCTAGCATTATTAGAAAAATTTGGAATATTGATACTGTCATCCCAAGCATTTTCTGTCACAATTATGTTGTCGTAATACTATAAGGATCCCAGATGACTTTGCGTCCTGACCAATATCTGACATATATATAAGCACGTCACTGCCCATTTACTTCGTTCCTGCCTTTGCAAAATGGATACCGGAGGTAAGCTGACATGTGAATTGGAGTATATGTGAATTTAGTGTTAAATGAATGTTCCTTCCGTATAGCAAATAACTCTTAACTTCCATTGCTATTTATGTTTTTGTAGAATAAATATTATCATTAAACAACTTTCCATACTGATGTATGTCTACGTTTGTTCGCTTCATAGTGTTACAAAGTGTGTGCCATACGGCGTAGCGGAACGCTGATGTACGAGCCCGCACGCACTATCAGTGTGGCCGGCGATTCTGGCTGATCGCCCATCCATTGACTACTTTTGGTTGCTACATTAAAATAACCATTTTAGACCCCAGATGTGTATCAAGGTTCATATCTAAACTATAAAAAATAGATCTAGATTTAGGCTGAGGGCCTCTAGGTCCTAAACATTAGCGAGGCTCACTAAATCTTAATTTTAATTTTTTGTTTTTTTAACCAATACCAATAAAAGCTAGAGATATTTTTCTAACTAACTAGGCACTACATTTGATGATTTTAGCTCATTATGAACTAAAATACATGATTTTAATTATTGGTGCCATACAGCTTAGCTGTGAAAGATTTTTCCATGACAACCAGTCTGAGATCTGATTCCTAAAGTTGACCTGAAAACTACCTAGGAGGTTCGTAAGGATCATGTGTTGGGAGGGGGAAGTGGAGGTATGCTGCAATAAAACGAAATCGAAAGGATACTCGTAACTTGGTTATGTAATCTATTTACTATATTTTTAGCAAACGCCAAATGAATGAACCAAAAATAATCACGTATAAATGTTTAAAAATATATAGATCTAAACTTTTTAAAGGTATTCATTTTCACGTTTTATTCAGTCTTGATTAATCAGTGTAAATAGGAATGTTTAATTAGGACAATTATGCATAATAATACATAGATTGAGTTAACGGCGGAATCTAACCCTCCTCCCTTATCCAGCATGGAAGCTTTGTCTAGGCTGAGTTTTAAATATTAAAAAAAGTATATAGGCATAATAAAATATCTGTTTTTATTTTTAAAACTGTCGTTGCATTAAATTTCATCACATGTGAGTCAGAAATGCATTCCAAACATCGCCACTCATAGGCTGTGCGTAGTGACGGCTCGCTCGCGTTGTTTTGTCAACGAGAGAAACATCGCCCGTCCGAAGCTAGATCCAGGTGGAGTTTTAATACTTAAATTTGTATCTAGAGCTGGTGTGTAGATCTAGATAGATCTATTTAAAGATTGTTAGGCTACGCCTATCACATTAACGTTGATCACTTGTGAGTGAAAAATTATGCAAATTCGTCACGAGCCCACTTGCGTTCTTTCGTCACGCGAGCGTGTGCGCAAGTCCCTGTACTGTGTCAACTAGATCTAGATCTAAGAATGCAAACTTTTGTTTATGCAGGCTGTCCTCTAATATGATTATTATAATTTATTAGCCTAGCCCTTCTGGATCTAAATCATAATAATCAATTATATAAAAATGAAAGCAAATGAAAATAATATTAACTATAATTCGATCTAGTAGTAATTAGTAATAATAAAATCAAGTAATTAATTTAGCACCTAGACTTTTTCGAGATCGCGTTTCACCTCGAGATCACAGGTTTACGGGCTTTTACAGAAATACCAACTAATTCCTATCTTCCCGTGTTCAGATCGAAATACTTAATTAATTTGTCCAGCAATGTAAAAATCAAAATTGGAAAATATTCACTTAACGCTCGTCAACACAAACGTAGTAAAGAGTCGATAGAGCCACCTAGGCGAACGTCTGCCGCCCAATAGCGGTCACGTGGGTTATGGAATTTTTACTTCTGGTGGTGACCGTTTTGGAGAATTTTTTAAAAAATTAGCGCATGTAATATTCGATTTATTTTTACACAGACTGTTAAATCTAATATTGATGTACTTTCGGTTTCCAATCTACATCGTAGTTGCTAATATTTAAAAAGATCTACGAATGTTTGTTGGCACCACTTTTTGAGCTTCGGTCTTCATTATCCAAAGCAATTTATAGCGTTTCTCTGGCATATTTAGCACTGCCAACTATAGTTTGTTTACATTATGTGAAAAAACCGCAATTTTTCACGAGGTAAACATTTTAAAAACGAATTCCTATAAAGTCACTTGGGCAGACAAGAAAAATGTCCGAAACTAAGCGTCCGGTTTAGGATGCCATGTTGTTTTTACAGAGGCGTAGCGACCCTTCCCGGCGCCCGGGGACAAACTTTTCGATTAGCACCCCCCCCCCCCTTCGAGATTTTGATTTGCACCCCCCTCAAACTTTCAATTTTCACCCCCCTCAACCTTTCAATTTATTTTTCCAACCCATTTTGGCGCCCCCTAAGCTCGGCGCCCAAGGGACATGTGTCCCCCCCCCCCGCTACGCTACTGTGTTGTTAGCAACCAGAGACGCTTTCAAGTTAGTTATCCTTGCTATAATAAGTATGCATCAAATACTCTCACCAATACCAATCTGAAGGGTAGATCGATGTGTTTCGCGGGCTTTTATAGCCTTGTAAGATACCTATCATCACATGGCCAGGTAAAAGATCACTAATGATTCTCAATTAGCCTAATTACGCAGGAAATCAAGGCCAAATTGTGAGCCCATTTGAAATAATATACAACCCTTTTAGCGTCTATTGCGCATACTTCCGTACAGCATCCATCACAATAGCGATGACGTCACAATTAAAAATTACGTGCTTTCAGTGACCTTTTTTGGGCGCCGATTTCTTAAAATGGTTATAAAATAATTACAATATTTTTTCACTAAACGATCAGTCTAATAATAGCCTACCGTACAGTGCCATTTGGACACCTAACAGACCATTATTTAAAGTTTTTAAACAACTCAAACTATACCCATGTTTACGTTTGACCTACATTGTCGGAAGCAAATTTTAATTTTTTTTTCTGGCAAAAATAGCTTTGTCATCTTCAGATAGCTTAAAATACGCAAAAAAAACGCCATTTTTCGCGTGATAATTATTGTTAATGTTAAGGTGGTCTCTCGAACAAAGCTGAAAAAATTGCCCAATCGTAGGCCAAGGTGTGGTAGCCATGTTCTGGTTAGCAACCAAGGACGCTTTCGAGTTAGTGAGCCTCGCTACTAAACATAGTTTAACAACTTAAATTTTATTTAGGCCCTAGGCCAAATAAAAAAATATTGTTAGTTTTTCTCACTAAATCTAAAATAGGCCTATATAAAATATAAATATGCTTTTCTGGCATAGCCCTGCCACCTAGGCCTATAGTTTATTTTTATAACGTGAAAACCCCGCCATTTTGCTCGTGGTAAACATTTTAAACAGTAATTCTAAGAAGGTCACTGGAACTAAGATGAAAATGCATCAGAAGTCACGCATCCGGTGTGTATGCCCTATTGTTGTTAGCAACCTGCCACGCCTCCAGGTTAGCGAGTAATATTAATATATATTTTGGCCAATTCCAACACTGCCAAAATTTGGATCTAGATTCTAGATCTAATTCTAATCTTAAACTAAAAAATACTTAAAATTTTAAAGGCCATATTAAAATAAAGCAATTTAGATCTTAATCTAGATCTAGATTTTAAATTAAGATCTAGGTTAAGCCCTGAGATCTAGCTAGATCTAGATGTCAAATTGTTTTTTTAACTGTTGGAAACAAGATGATTTTTTCCTTACAAAATTTAAATTAAGTCATTAAAGCAACTGTTTAGAAACTGGTAGGCAAGATTATTGGGCCTATTAGCCAATTATATATTACGAGCCGGCCCGCGGCATAACATACGCCGCTATTTAGTTTCTAATTTTCAATAATTCATAATTTGTGAATTCGACAGTACCAACGCTGACACTGAAAATATTTCTTTAAAACACTATAAGTAGCTCGTTAAGGACATAACCTCCCCCCCCCTTCCTTCCCCCCCTCCCCCCCCCCTACGTTTAAAATCGTTGGCTCTGCTTGTAAACATTTAGAGTGAACACAGCTCACTAAAACCATGTAGGGGTGGGGAGGTAGGGAGAGCGTTTGCAGCTTGTTTTCTAACGGCTCGAAGAGGAGAATTATATATATAGATTAGTATAACCAGTTTTCTTGATACAAGAATAGAACCAAATCTTTTTGTTTCCTGGATTTGTAAATATAAACATTTTTGGGTTTGGAATTTACAAGGACCTAATTTTTTTTGTCATTTATAGGCCTAATAACTCTCATAAAGCAGTTGGCCTATTATTTTTATTAATTCTGTTTCTTCTATTGGTCTAAATGAACTGACTGCAAGCCTAGCATTTTTCAACATTAGTGTAACACTGAAACTTGGTGCGCTAAAATAATCTCCAACAAGAGATCTGAGAATCAAGTTGACTTACAGTAGTTATTCTAGCTAAATCTAAAATTTAGGCCTACTCAATTTTCAATTTATGCATGACCACTAATTAATAGTAGTTATTCTTGCAAAATCCAAAATTTAGGCTACTTAATTTTCTAGTTAAACATGACCAATAAATAATAGACATTCATATTTAATCCACTAGGCTCTTATTTTTAGGGTTTTAGCTCCTTTAAAACAAAGTTACGTAATTTAAAATTTGTCACTCACGACACCTTTCTGTTAAAAGCTTTGTAAGGTTACGTAAAGAAAGCTTTTGTGGTAAATAAAGCTTTTGAGCTGTTTTTGAAGTCATTACTAATTTATACTTTGTTTTAAGTTATGTTTTTCCAGTAATTTACTATTTATTATGCTAAATGCACAACATACCAGAGATTGCATTTTGATTATCTTTGATGTCTTCACATTTGTTTGCTTATTATCATTAAGAGCCCCCAGCAACTTTGTCCTTTCATTACCTTAAAAAGTTATTTTTTAGAACGGTGTATAAAATAAATATAACATTTAGAAAGACCCAAACTTATTATTAATAAAAAGGCATTTTTTTTAGATCCTCCACAAGATGAATCTGTGCCCAAACCAGCTTCAGGCCCCAAGGGTATGTTCATGAGTTATACTTGTGATTCTACAAAATAGTAAAGTTGCCTTTGAAGAGAATAAGTTCTCAGTTTGTGTCATGTACACAATGAAGTAGGGCTGTCACGCACAAGAACTGATTGTATGTCATAACTATGACATTTGATTTTAAACTTATCTGGTGATTCTAGTAGCATTATTCATTCATTATGTTCCTCTAATTTTTAAATCTGTTATTTTAGGATGAAGCTGTTGATCAAAGGCTAATCAAACCCTATCTATTAAATAATGACATTTATCTCTCTTATTCAGGGAAAAAGAAGAAGAAGGAAGGCAAGAAGACACTGACATTAGATCAGTTTCTTGCCCAAAATGATGGCTTCTCAGAGCCTAAGAGTCAAAATTGGGCTCTTCTATCAGAGAATCCTGATGGTAGGTTTTTTTTATTACTTCATGTTGAATTAGCAATTTATGCTTCATTTAATTTATCAAAGTGAACTATTAACCACTAGCTGTTGGTACCCATTACAGGCCTATATATTTAAATGTTATACTTGTTTGAGAAAAATATTTTCTAAAATAGTTATTGGTCAAATGCAATGTGCTTTACTACATGTTGAATGATATTAGAGACAAAGCAAAGAAATAACTAAATAGCTAAAAATCCAACACATTTAAAATGACAGGCTACCAATACTTTTTAGAAAAATTAAACCAAATTATATACATTATTAGTCAACACCATATTAAATGCACACACTGATTGAGAGACTAAATGATTCTGTTGAATACCAGGCTGTTGCTTTTTTAAAAAGAAGCTTCTATTGCTTTTGGCCAAGAAAATTGTATACATTTTATAGCATACATCTTGATAAGTAGATCTATACATCTAAATCAAATTTGAATGAAATTGTTCATTTCTTCATATTCTAAAATAGGAAGATGACACCATTAGTTTTATGTATTTTCCGTAGTTTAAACATGTGACGTCCTTGTCACAACAATAAACACTTTTCCTGTTGCATAATTAAAAATGTGTTTCTAGATTCAAATATTGCTTTACTTTTATTCTTTCTTTAAATAAAATTTATTTTATACATTTAAAACATCCAACATATTATTTTTAACAAAAGTCCATAGCTTTGAATTCTCAATATCGCTGAACACATAGCCTCAAAAATGTTGTGGCGAGAAGAGAGAAGTGTGCACACAGGGTTTTATATATTATGATACTAGTTGTGTTATAAAAAATATGTAAAATTTTGCAGTTAAATATGTGTAATAATAAAAGTCTTAATATTACAACAATTTTCATTCATTTTTTAGAAGTCATAACACATTTGCTAATTGTTTATACATTTCTTTAAAAAAAATACAATTACATTTATTCTTCTAGATGATTATGAAGTTCCGATTAAATTTGATCGCTCAACTTTACCTACTGCCCCTAAGGCAGCCATGGGGCCAAAGGTGGACATATCTCAAATTCCAAAGGATGGACCTTATTCTGCTTATGTGGGAAATATCTCATATGATGCCAAAGAGAGTGATTTATCAGCCCTATTTAGTAAATTAGAGGTAATTTAAATTACTTATTTTTGTTTTTGCAAAATACATGAATCTCTGTATATATGTATCTACCTAGGAATGATATCTTTTTGCACCAAATTAGAATACTTTAAGTGTCCATACAAAAAGACAAGCTTTTATGATGATAAAAAAATTGGCATAGTTCATCTGAATAAATTGTGACAGATTTTTTTTATCTGAAAAGCGTAGTGATCAATTTTTACCGATTTGAATTTTTAAAAAATGTTGTCCAATATTTCACATTAATTTACCAATTTCATTTTAGATTTAAATAAAATGTTAAAACCGTTAGGGGACAGCATATAAGATCTTATTGCTTAGTCTCTGTAGCAACAAGTTACATACAAATTGTTGTGAGTAGTTTTCACAAAATTATATATTTCATATTTAAGGTTGAAATGGTTAGAATAATAACTGATGGAGGGCGTCCACGAGGCTATGCTTATGTGGATTTTAAAAACAGAGAATCTCTTTTGGAGGCTTTAACTTACAATGAAAAGGTAAGTGCTATTCTATTTAACAAATTAAATAGAATTTCAGGCTTTTGATCACCTTACATGAGATGTTTACCAGGTTGTCGAAAAGGATTCTCTTTTTGGTATTCTATTAATGTATTTTTAATATTAAGGCTTCCAGTTCATCATCTACTTAGCTCGCTTCCTGCCTTTCATTCCTCTGTGGATGGTCTATTGTTTTACAAGCAGTCCTGCTTATAGTGCTAGTTAATGATATTGAACAAACGCATGGCGTTATTCTTTTCTTTTGTACTTATTGTCAGATCATTACATTTTTTAAAGAGAAAATCAAATTGGCATAAAATAGATTTAACATTTAGATGCAGTAAACCTTGCCCAATAGTAGTCATATCTAGAGGTTGTCTGTCTGTTGTCTTTTGAACTTATATCATTTTTCTCATCAGGAGTATATGGGTCGCTCAATTCGTGTTGATCTGGCCACAGAAAAAAACCAAGAGGGTCGTGGTGGTGGTGGTGGTTTAGGAGGTGGACGCAGCAATGAACCTGACAGGACAGAAGGGGACTGGAGGAGGCGTGAACCTGCCAGCTTAGATAGTAAGTTATGATGATAGTGTAGCTAAACTAAAATTTAAATTCTGCTGGAATATTCTCTTACTGTTGTCTTCTTTTTGCATCCTCAGGTAGTAGCAGAGATTCTGACAGAGGGGCAAGATATGGGGACAGGGACAAAGGAAGTGGTGGTTTTGATAAAGAAAGAGGAAGTAGAGGATTCAGTGACCGTGGCTTTGGTGGTGATCGTGACAGAGATCGTGGTTTTGGAGATCGTGACAGGGATAGAGGATTTGGAGGAGACAGAGATAGAGGCTTCGGAGGAGACAGGGAGAGAGATAGAGGCTTTGGAGACAGGGACAGAGGTTTTGGAGGAGACAGGGATCGAGGCTTTGGAGGAGACAGAGACAGGGATCGAGGTTTTGGAGGAGATAGGGATAGGGATCGAGGTTTTGGAGGTGATAGAGGTATGTAAAACCATTTTTGTTCAATGTGTCTTAGACAAAAGTTGTTTCCACTTAGTGGTGTTTAAAGTTTGAAATGGGGAATTAGTATGAAAACTCAGTTCTTCTTGTTAAAAATTGAAAAAATTGGTTCTGATATAGATCTAATATTTATATTTATTTATAGGGTATGGTGGAGATAGAGGTTTCAGTGATAGAGACAGGGGTGGAAGCAGCTACAGTGATCGTGATCGAGGATATGGTGGTGATAGAGATAGAGGGTATGGTGGAGACAGATCTAGTCGAGGTTATGGTTTTAATCGTGATAAAGAGGATGGTGGTGAGTACTAGTAATAACAGTTGTAGATACAGCTAAAGAGAATAAAGAGCACTTATGAATTAGATTATAGCAGTTACAATTGTCACTTGAAAATCCTCAAGAGTGGATTTAAAAAAAAGTCAAGCTTTTTGATGATGATAAACAATCGGCATAGTTCATCTGAATATATTATGACTGATACCTCTTACATATCTGAAAAAAGCTTTATTATAATAATGGTGACTTCTATTTTGTTAAATGTATTGTTAAAAAATTTTATGATGCGGTTTGAGGCTTGTAGGCGAAGTAGAGCTCTCCTGTTTCCATAAGCTAGATATGTGTAGGGATAGCATGGTCAGATGTATGGGTTGATTAGAGCCAGAGAGCTGCACCAGACATTTATGGGTTAACACACTTGTGATGTTTGCTAAGCTATTCCATTAAAGCTGCAATATTCTGATTCATATACATATTTTTGAAAATTGTATTGTTCACAAAGTAAAGGAGCCAGTTAATAACTCATCTCATTTCAGTATTTGAAGTGTCTGCATAGTCCTTTCACTAACTGGATGGTATGATCTGTTTAAAGACTTATCATAGCACCTTTTTTTCTTTCTTTTTATCCTCATTATTAAGATAATCTAAACAGTTTTTAAGTAAGTATTTTCTTTACTGTTGAAGGTCGCTTTGGATCAAGGGGAGGTGGGAGCAGTGGTTTTGAGGACCGCTATGGAGGTAGAAGAGATGATAATCGTAGAGAAGACTTTCAAAGAGGCAGAAGAGAAGATAATACAGAAAGACCGTAAGTTGTAAGGTTACTAGTGCCATGATTTAGTATGTAGTCCAGCAAATATTTAAGTAGTTTTTTAAATGCAATGATCAAGCTTTTTAATGATGATAAAAAAATTTGGCATAGTTCATCTGAATAAACTTTGATAGATTGAGATTTATTTTTCTGAAAAAAAAAAGCTTTGATAAATTCTCATCTTGTGTGAAAAATGTGTTATAAAACCTGATTGCACATACTGCAAAGACTAAGAATGATGAAATTGACTAGGTATAGTTTGACTGGTTATAGCAGCTTTTATTTTGTAATAGCTTTTTTTGTAATCTGATGACCTCTTAGTTTCAACTACTTATTTATACACATTTTTTTAGTATGTTTTTGTTTTTTCTTTTTAAACAGTACTGGAAGCAGGGATGGCAGTCAAGGTTGGTTATGTTTTAGAATGTTATTGAACTCAAAACTCACTAAAGAATTAAAACATCCTGTTAGCTTATATCAGCTTATTTGATGCCATTATGAGGTTGAAAAAAAAAGATAAAAAAAAACAACTCAAAGATCAAATAGGAAAACAATTAATGCTGCTATGTTTCATTAAATATTTATCAGTATTGCTATTGAATGGCAGAAAACAAATGAAATAAATTAATGTTAAATATTAATAATATATTAATTTTGATTATAGAACACAGAGATGGTCCAAAGGAGCGTCCAGTTTTGAATCTTAAACCTCGTACTAAACCTGTTGAGAATAAAGAAAATCAACCTGCAGCAAGGTCTTCAATATTTGGTGCTGCTAAACCTGTTGACACTTATGCCAGAGAAAAACAGATTGAAGAGAAGTTAAAACATAAAGATGAAGTTGATCATAGGTATATTTATATATTTAAAGTGTTTTGTTTTTTAAATGAGCTGTGTAATATTGAGAAATTTGACAGTCACTTATCATTGTTGTACTAGATTAAATAATTTCAAAGATTGATTGACACCAATTTTAAATCATACATGTTTGTAAAAAGATTCTGATTCAGACCCATTTTAAAATTTCAGTCATACAAGTCATAGAAGAGATTCAGATTCAGACAGAGGCAGAAGAAGTGGAGACAGCTATGGAGGTGACAACAGGCGGCTTAGTGGTGAAAGATCAGGTAAGACAATCGTTGCTTCATTATCTACTTGATTGAAGTTTTCCTTATTCTTAAGAGTGTTTAAAATTAATTAAATTTACCTCAACTAATTTTAATGTTTAAGCTCTGCCTGAGCGCAGACGAAAGAACAGTTTGACTTATGTTTCCAGCATTACAATAAAACCTGGTATGAAGTAGTGTTCTGATTCGTAGTTGGTGTTGGTTTATAATTTGCCTAGATCCCTGTAATTGTTTAAATTCATTACATAAGGTTTATTCATGGGTGAAGTTTGATTCTATTAAATACAAATTCAGTGGTGTATCTTGTTGTCCAATGCAGATCTGAGATCATATGGTTTATAGCAACTGGATTGCAATGATTTAGATTTTTTAAAATGGTCACACTTTCCTTTTTTGTTGAAAGAAGTTTTACAATTTATAGATATATAACTGGATAAATATAAACACCCCAAATTTTCATGTAATTAAACCCATTCAATGTTAGAGTAGATCATGGTGAATTAAAGATGCAATATTCTAGAACTGAAATGTTCCAGCTTTTAAACTATACCAAATTTGAAGCAAATACAAAGTATACTGTAATAATAATAAAAACTATTTAAAAGCAAAGTTATAGAAGTGGTTCACACATCTAGAAATATTAAAATACAATTTGTACTGCACATTTGCCTTTTCCTTTTTAGTAAGCCAGCTGTCTTATGATGAAAGTAAATTCAATTTTTTTGTGTTCATTAAAAACAGTTTCAGAATCATCAATAGAAATGTTATATACCTCATTAAAGATAACTTTTTTAAACTGCCTGTTCTTTTAACCAATATTGTTGTCAGAACATAAAATTAGCCTACTTTTTTTTTAGTTTGTAACCACCTTATAATTTATCTAAGCCTAATTTTAATGACATTAATTTTTTAACAAGCTTTTTGACTTATATAATTTTTTACAACTTAAAAATAAGAATTTGAAATCAGAAGATACAATGAGTTGTTTTGTGATATCACTCTATTCTATTAAGAAAAATAATTCTTTAAACTGATTTTTAGAAGTTTTTTACATTGGTAATGTAAATGTTTTAAAATATTTGATCTTGAACATGATCGATTCATTTTTTAAATAAAACAGCAAATCTTTAATACATGCTTAATTGATCGGGTTCAGTATTAGATACCAAACATTTGACTTCTAATAACAATGGGGGAAACTTATTTGGCACAAAACTGCAGTTATTTTTGGGTGAATTTAACATAATTATTTTGAATAACCCTTACATTACATTAATTAAGGATGCTTAAAGAAATTTAAGAAAATTAATATCCCCTACCTAATGTTAAACTTTTAAATTATCAACACAAATTTTTTTGGAAGTATATTTGGGTTGTCACCACAAAATTTAGTGTGAAAACTTGCACTGGTCATGAATAGGTTGATAGGAAAAACAGGGATTTTTGTTATGGGAAATTTTAATACATATATGATCTTATTGAGAAAAACAAATGGTGGGTTCTATTCATTATAATGGTAAAAATGGTAGAATTACAATAAAATACTTCATATGTGATGATTCAAAGAAATTGGCATAGTTCATCTGAAATTGACTGAGTGAGCTATTTCTTGTATTCTGATGAGTGCTTTTATTAAAAAAAAATTGTACACACAAAATCATGTTTTAAAAAGCTCAGTAAAAATATTTTAACTTGACAGCACCTATTTCAAGAAGAGATAGTGAACATTCTTATACTTCTGATGATGGAGGAGCTAAAGAGGAATGCAAATCCCCATCTTCTGTGAAATCAAATGAGCCTGCTCCTAAACTTGTGCCAGCCCCACCACCCAAAGATAACCCATGGATGAAAAAGAAAGATGGTGGTGCTCTATCATCTTCATCATCTAACACTTCTAATGTATCTAACAATGCAATACCAGCAGAGAAAAAAGAAATTACACCTCCAAAAGTAAGTCATTTAAATGCGTATATTGAAAAAGCTAGCTAGTAGAAAATCTAATTTTCAGTAAAACGATGCTGAAATGAATTAAGCAATAACTAAATGTCATTTGTTTGACTTTAGCCTTCAAATGCCTGGGGAGATTCAAAAGGTAGAGGAAGAGGTGGGTCTGCAAGATCAGATGGGAAAAAACCTACTGACAAGCTTAGCCAGAATGGTCCTCGTAAGTTAAATCATGTCCTACCTAGGTTGAATATATACTAAAGTTTGACAGTTGTCAATTTTATTTTCTGGAGGAGGGAAAGGGGGACTTTGGCAATAGTAAGCATTTTATTGAGGTGTGGACTAGAGAGGGGATGGGTTTGGGTCCATGCGGGTGACCTCTAAAACAGTAATATACTTACAGCAGGTATGTGACTTCCACATCAGATTACCTTCATCAGCACATTTGAATCTGAAATTTTCTGCTGTTTTTAAGTAGTTTAAAAAAAGCAACTATTTAGTATCTCATTATTTAGCATTAATTTTAAAATATCTGTTGCATTATAATGTTCTGGTTCCTTTTTAGTCAATGTTTTGTTCACATTATTTTTAATGTGATGAATACTAAAATCAACAACGTACCAGTCTCACTGTAGAGTTTCAGTTTTTAAGAATTGTCTTCACTAATAATTTTACTATTAATGCTGAAAAAAATCAATGTCGTCAAATTTATCTGTGTCAAATTGAAACTCCAACATAAAATGTAGGTTTATTTCCTTGAAAGTAATAGATAGGAAGTAGAATTACTACAGAGATTTTCATCTGCTGATTGTTTTCTGCTTCCAATCAACTTTGTAACTTTTAACTAGCTGCCTTTTTTCTGGCCAATCTTGGTAGGTAGACAACTGCTGTTCAATTTATGCAGTTTGAATGCAGAAAACTGAAATATTCTTTGAAAGCATTAATGTATTTACGTTAAATACTTGGATGTGTGGATGTTCTAATTCAGCAGAAACCCCACAATAGTCCACATGAAAAAATCTTTTTTTGTACATGCCTACAAGTTCAATGTGAATATCAAATGGTTAAATGAATTATTAGCGTGTTGAGAAAAAAAATATTTTTCTTTGTTGTGGAAGTCAAAAACAGATGACACATTAAACAATTTTCTTTTCTTGTTTTTATTTTAGCTACAAAGCGACCAGACATCTCAAAGTCAAAGTAAGTCTTTAAGCTTGTTTTAAAATGTTTATTTCATTGTAATATTTTACCCAATGAACAGTTATATTATTTGTTGTAATTTTATTTTTATAGACCTAAAGAAAAGTCACTTCCTAAATCAATAGATGAAATGCCTAAATATGAGGAGACCAAAACAAAGGTAAGGGTTGAGCCATGTATTTCAAAACATATATATATATATATATATTTATATATATATTGGGGTTTAGACAAAATATTTTGAGAGGTTACTTTTAAAAAATCAATGTTTTCTTATTACAAGTAATTTTGATATTCTATTAATTCCTCAGGATTTTTCTGATACAAACAAATTTGCATACTTGAATGAAGATGAAGACAGTGGCAATGAAGAACTTTCTTGATTGTATAGAAATGTAGATACATGTACATGAAAGTGGTTTTTTTGAAAGCATGTGAAATGTGTGATGGCTTTTTTTTTCCAAATGATTAAAAATACACACTGACCTTATTTGTGCGTGTGTATACACATAAATACATATGAATGTATATACACATTCATATCTTAGAAATTAAAGGTAATGAGTGTTACTTATGAATTCATTGAATGGAACAAATGTAAAGATAAGAGTTCTGCTTCCATTCTAATTGACATGCCTAGGTGTGGTCCCACTTGTGCATGAAGGTTGTAATTGTTTAAACATTACTTAGGTTTAAACATGATTTATTACAGTAGTGTTAAGGATCTACAAGCTGTAAGGCAACTAACAAGTACATTACTAAGTTATACACTGATGCACAGTCATTTCATAATTCTTATGACTATTTATATTTATTGTTGTATTGGAAAAGTTTTTTTTTTAATTTAAAATATTTATGCCTTTTAAATATGTATGATTAAAATCAAGAATGAATAGAAAAAAGTGATAATTTTTTTGTGGGGTTAGGTATTTTGACTTGTTCAATCAAATTAATGGAACAGGGATGTTTACTTTTGTATTAATGAAAACCAAAGTTTATATGGAAGATTAATTTTTTTTGTTCTTTTTTATTTGTTGTGGGTTGTTTTAGCTTCGACAATTCCTTTTAACGGGAAATAGTAACATGCCAGTTTGTAGTGCATTGAGCTCATTTTAAAAGACAAACTTAATTTTTGAATTCTGTTTTTAAAAACCAAATTATATTTTTTGATGTTAATATTTTTTCATAGAATGTCTACTGTATTACAATAACTGATTTAGAAAAATCTGATGAAAATATATTTAAGATATAAATTTTTAAAACATCAGCCATTGTAATACATTAAAACATTTTTTTTATAATCCACAAAGAAATGGAAGAGTTGTAGGCTTCCATTTTTGTTTTCAATTTTTAATTATGTTTATAGAGAAGCAGGGGATTTCATGTATTCTTAATTCTAAGATACCCAGTAACTCCTCATCTAGACAGTTTGATGCTGTATATTCTAACTTTAGTTACATAAACTGTGCTGTTATCTCTTGCATGTTATTTTGAATACATTGTTAAATAATTCAGAAACAGATGGCTGGTTTCTGAAACACTTTCTTCTTTGTTTGTATGACATAATCAAATAAATGTATAACTTGATTCATCCTTGTCAATAAAATTCCTTCTGTTGTTTTTAAATCTATGATCAGACAGCTTTATCCAGAAAATATTTTTGAGCTATCTCAGCTATTTTAAAATGGTAAAACATTAAAATTATGTAAAACAATCACTTCTTGTTCTCTTATTATAACAAGCATAATTTACTTTTTTCCATGTCACTTGGGGTACTTGGTATATGATAAATTATCAGTTAATCTATATAGATTTAGACTACTTTTAATGTTCTGCCTTTCTTCATTAGTAGTGTATGAACAAGTAAATATGAGAAACTTGACAGAGTACAGCACTTTGTTCTGTCATGTAATTTTTAATTCATTGTACATATCTCCTGACAATAGGTACCTTCAGCATACAATTATTGATTGGCTTTTCTGTATGGATGGTCAATTCTCAGCTACAAACCACTCATTGTTCCATATGTTGATGAATGTGTGGGTTGATGGTTAACCCAATTTTTCCTGTCTTGAAAAATATGTGACATGCCTATGGTTGGATGAAATTAGCTTGTTCAATAAAATTCATGTTACCCGAGTCTTGCTTTTGTTTCTTGCTTGATCATTAAATTCCACCATAGGTTGATTCAAGTTTCTTTAATGAGCAGGAGGGGGGGGGGATTTTGCAGCACTAAAAAGGTCACTAAATAATTAAATTAAAGGCATGGACTGGTGATGAAAACCAAAATGCTTATTTCTAAACCTAATACTATATAATAATTACAATTATTACTCAAAAGAGTAAGTGTAAAATTGTGTATTTTTATGCACAAGTTTAGTTTTTTTAAATGTGATTTTCAGAAAAAAAAATTGTAAAAACAAAAGTATTTGAAAATGTAATCTATCATGAATGCTACCAACTTGTATCTCTATAATTCTGTAAGTTTTTATTGGTTTAGCATAAGCCATCTTTTAGTTATTTCAATGTTAAAAAGGTAAATAAAATCACCATGGCAACAGCATGAAATTTTCAGCCATTTTTTTAAGTTTTTGACTTTTTGTCATAACTATATGTTAAATATTATAGCATTAGGTTTAGAAATAGGCATTTTTGTTTTCATCACCCACCCATGCCCTTAACTTGCCTTAAGGATTCAAAAGTGTTTTACTTTATTTTTGGTAATCTAGTACTACTATTTAGTTAGTGGTTAGCAAAAAGTAATCAACCGTTAACATATTTTTGTTCAGGTTGAATGCTTATAACATTACTAACTATATGTTCCATATATCTGTTCAACCACTTCCCTTTCAATAGCCATCTTACTTCAGTGTAAAGTATCTCACATCTATGATCTATTTATTTTTCAGAAAATAACTCCAAGAGATGCCACATTAGGCCCTTGCTTCTATAGCAATGATACACTCTATACATCAATTATGTTCTTCATCTAGAACAGGCCAAATAGTTGTATGTATCAGGTTTCTCTGTGAAGGAAAATGCAGACTTTCTGGGTTCTCCAAAACCCCCCCTTACAGATGAGATATTTGCTGTCATCAGGCTCGTAAATCCTATAACATCCACCTCTATTATTAAGGTCCATGTGGTTTAGTGAGTTTCTAATAGAGAGCTGATACTTTTTATGAATGATACCATGCCCATAAGAATATTTTTTATGCAACCGATGCTTGCATTTTGAATTTTCTTAGACAGGTTATATTTGTCCGTAACATGACCCTGGTAACTTTATATAGGGGTGTCACTGTAAAAAGTGTAAATTAAGTAAATATCACCATCCAAAACGATGGAGCACAATTAGCATTTATATTTATTTTAAAATATAAGTTTCATTGGTAAATATTAAATCCAATTTTCTTTTAATTTCAAAACTTTTTTCTCCAGTGTTTTCCTTAACCTATTCATAAAAATATTTGTTCAACCCCCCCCCCTATTGTTGGGTCCATCAAAACATGTTTTGTAGCCTGATTATGAGTAAAAGTTTGTAAATTACTATCCACATCTATTTTCAATAAAAACCCATTAGATCACGAGTGCTAAACTTAACTTGATATTGTATTAATTAACCAGTGAACCCCAGAGTTGATTTCAAAAGACAAGGGATGGAGTGTTGAATGAAAATGTGTCAAGTGGATCAGGAACTGAGATAAACTAAAAGAAAAGGGATGGGTAGAGGGTTGAATGTGTCAAATGGATCAGGAACTGAGATTAACTAAAAGACAAGGGATGGGTAGAGGGTTGAATGTGTCAAATGGATCAGGAACTGAGATTAACTAAAAGACAAGGGATGGGTAGAGGGTTGAATGTGTCAAATGGATCAGGAACTGAGATAAACTAAAAGACACGGGATGGGTAGAGGGTTGAATGTGTGAAATGGATCAGGAACTGAGATAAACTAAAACAAGGGATGGGTAGAGGGTTGAATGTGTCAAATGGATCAGGAACTGAGATAAACTAAAAGACAAGGGATGGGTAGAGTGTTGAATGAAAATGTGTCAAATGGATCAGGAACTGAGATAAACTAAAAGACAAGGGATGGGTGGAGGGTTGAATGAATATGTGTCAAGTGGATCAGGAACTGAGAAAAACTAAAAGAAAAGGGATGGGTAGAGGGTTGAATGTGTCAAATGGATCAGGAACTGAGATAAACTAAAAGAAAAGGGGTGGGTAGAGGGTTGAATGTGTCAAATGGATCAGGAACTGAGATAAACTAAATATAAGACATGTCACATGTATACATAGTTTAATTTTTTTATCCACCCTTCAGATTTTTATGCAATCATTTTTCTAAGACATACATTCAAAATAAAATATACACACTCTCCACATTGTAGTAATAAAATCAATTGAAAAAAAATTGAAATAGAGTCTTTAATTATTTTTTTTTGTAATCGCCTGGTTAAAAATCAAGAAAATGAATATCTTTCAATTCAGAGTTAAAACAAAAATTTGTTAATTTAACAATGGGAAAATGATCAAAGTGAAAATATAGCAAAATACAGCATAATGTTAACCCTGTTGTGACGGGAGGAAAAGTACCCTCCTTATTTTATTTAATGTTGGCCAGATTTTTAGACCCTGTGTGAGAGTCAAAATAATTACATTGACACACAAGCCCAATTGACTGGAAGTCAAATGCTTGAAAGAGACTTTTTATTTTCCTTTTTCGTCATAAAAATCTAAAAATCATTATTACTATTAAAAAAATATTTTGTACAACAAAATTAAGCTTAGTTTTGTACTTGCTTCCCCTTCTCTAAGAAACTATCTGTAATAGACAACACTTGTGTCCTGCAATGGTTCAGTTCAATTTTGTTGGATAATTCAATGATAATAAATCAGAATGAAACAAGATTTAAAGTGGTAAATTTTAAATATTTCTTTGTTCACAACATTCATTTACACAAGCAATGAAATTGAAACAATAATTGCTTTGTTTTGTTTTTCAATAATTAAATATTTAACATTCATTTTCTTTATTTCATTGAAGTTAAAAACAAATTCAACAAAACAAATCACAATTTTTAAAAATCACACCATTTTATCAGCATTTGATAAATAATACATAAAATATATCAAGAGGTAAAACTGATAAACTGAGTGGCTGGGCAATGTGAGGGTGTGGGGTCAATGATACACTTAAAAATTTGAAAACAAAAAGATGGAAATCAATGTCTGTTTAGTAAGTCAGAAAAAAATTAAATCTAGAAACAAATAAAGGACATCTTGAACCCCTTTAATTTTGTGCTTTAAATTGCAGTATTAAAAAATAATGAACAATTCAGCATTCACAGTAAATATATATACATACAAATCTACTCATAAAATCTCTCTTTATGTAAAATGTTATTTCCAAATGCAAAAGATTTTAATTTGGAGATTACATTTATTTGACAAAAAGCATGATATTGCTGTGGTTATCAAAATATACTAGAGAAAATTAAGTTTCAAATACCTATATTGCCGTTATTGAAATTATACTCAATTTTATGGTAATTTCTTGTATAAGGCTGTGGTATGTCAAAGATAAACATAATTACAAAAAATATTGAGTAAAGCTATAGTAAAAGCTTAAGTTATAAAAGTATAACATTATTCTTTTAATTCCTAATTTATTACACATGTAAAAAGTAGTGCAAAAATAATGTGCCGATGCTTAAAATCTGACTGATGTGTTGGTGATATTCGCTGTCAGGTGTAACAGAATTTAGAATTAAGAAAATGAGTGGACATTCATGATTAAGTACAAAAAAAAAAGACATAGAAATAGAGAAGAAATAGTTGTACAGTACATAACAATAGATAAGTATGTGTGTACAGTACATATTAGTAGATAAGTATGTGAGGGTGTAAATAATTTAGATTTGCACTTTCGTAAAATAGTTTTCTTTAAAACTGTTATAACTTAGACGTCCATAGGAGAAGGAAAAATCACAACCTTGTTCTGAGAGAAAGACGTGTGCACAATGATTTATTCTTAACTCTGCACCTGGCTTATGGCTTTACAGTACACATTTAAAATAACTGAAAACACAAAAATGTATTTGTAAGTTGAACATTTAGAATTGCTTATTGAAGGAATCTATTATGCTAAAATAACTGAACACACAGTACATCACATATTGCATGCAGATGTCACTTGTTGAAGACATCAAGCCTCCCACTCAATAGGAATATTAAAAAAAAAATCACTTCCTCTCCCTGATAGTTGCAAATGGATCACCGTCTACTGTTTTAGGCAAGTCTAAGACAATATCACACATTCTCATTTTTCCAATAGATATCAAAATGGTAACAAACCATAACCTAAAGAGAGCATATAAGCATCAATATATTATAATGGATTCTCTCATTAATAGAACATATTTTTCATTAAACTGTAACACTACATATAAAACATAGAAGAAATATATTTATATAAATATAGATAGAAAATTTCTTTGTTAATATAGGAATTTAAATTCATGAAGAATATTTCTTTTTACACAATTTCAGAAACGATGGAAAAAAAAAATTCAAAGTTTTCAAAGAATGTTGTAGCTATATAATACACTTTGTTTATACAACCACTTCAGGCTTCTGTACTAAGAGTACAAAAATATATCTTTATTTTCAATTATTTTTTAAAACGATAAGCATAGCTAAGTCATTAAAGTGATTTCAGGTTTTATTTTTGCACTGCTAAATGATTTTGACACTACCTAAATTGTATTAAATTCACATAACTATTATAACTAAGCCTAAAATAGGAATCTTACATCAAATAACATTTTGGAAAACGTTTTTATTTTTCCAGTGGATATTATTTATGCAGTTATAATTTGGCATTATAGATTTAACTATTTGATTTACCATCAATGAGACATTAAATACACACTATTAAAATGCATTTCTTTATTATTGTTTTAAAATAAAAATTGGTAGCCTACATAAAGCCTAATCAGTTAAAAAAAACATCAAACTATTTACATTAAAAAAATACCAACTGTATGAAATTAAATTATTATGTGAAATTAAATATAGAATAAATCTGGTATTGTTTGGCATGAGAAATGTAAAGCAACACTACTTATACAAGATGCTACAAGAACAGATTCAACAAAACAAATAATTTGTGTTTGGCAAATTGTGAATACTTCTCATTTATTTATTTCGTTTAAAAAGTGGACTTCATTTAATAATAATCAGTCTTTTTATCCTTCATAACTCCATACCTGAAGATATTACATAGCGTTTAAAAAAAAATAGAAAATGAAATTGGTGGGGGTTTAATTTTTTGAGGTGAGTAGATTAAAGAACAATGTAAAAGAACTGATTCTGTCTGATGAATTAGAGTTATTGTGTTGCTAGATGCTGCTATAATTGCTCAACCTGTATGTATGCTTTATTATTATTGGATTCTTGGCATGTTTGGGATTGGTCTGCATGTATAACATACATGCTTAGGCTGAACACATACACTATTGCACAGATGCACATATTCAAATTTTCGCCCTCCAGACGATGTGTAAAAAAAAATGGTATGTAGGAGATTGAAAAAAAAAATTTCTGCATGATTCTTCTTTTAAATGAGTTGATAAGTTATTTACTGTAAAACTATATATTTTGACTACTGTAACTAAAAATAGCTGTAAAGTGCTTTGCCACCTACATGGTATAAACAGTAATTAAAGTTCAACACAACACATTAATACAATAAAAATGCTGTTAAATTGGACATATTAAGACTAGATAAATAAAATATCAAAGGAAATTGAATGACTTAGTTGAAACTGCAGTGCCAGTTTGCAGTGAAGTCACCATTTTTTTTGCTGCCTCCTTGTCTGTGCAGTATAACGCAGAGAAGGATGTACAAAAGGGCAAATATTTTCATGAATTCTAAAACAAATAAAACATCTTCCCACTATAATCTTGGTAAATTGTTTGTAAAAAAGAAATAATTTGAAACAGTTAAATTGCTTTCGCCAGTTAAGTCACAACCATAATGAAAACAGCAATGGCAAAATAGGCCAGGTTCTCATAGTTTTTGTTGCTTTATATTTGAAAAATTTAAAACCTGTATTTGGAGAGCACTGTAAAAAGTTGAATTTTATTATTTAACAAGTAAAAGATCTGGATTAATTATTAATACTTGCAATTTAATTACTATACATATGTCCACTGTAATATAATGCTTTTGAAAAGAAAACAAACAGAGGAAAAATAACAAATGAAATGGTGAGTATTGTATCATTAAATTATAACCACAGGAAAATTGGTATTAATTCAAATTCTACATTATAAAATAAGTACATGTAAATAAACCCATCAAACATTTCCAATTATGCCTCCAAGGACAATAACTATGTACATAAATATGATTCACACAAACTTTGTCAAGAGAAACAACTAATTTTACTTCTATTTACTAGGGATACTTTGCTACTATAATTGACTAAAAAGACACAAAATGCTAAAATGTTTATTGCTATTGTTCAGTAACAATAATTGTTTATTTAAAAATATACATTTCATTAAAATAAATAGATGAATGCATTATGATTGTTAAGGTAGGCCTATTAATATTTTTCATATATTTGGGCTATATCTATATATCTCCTTATCTTTATATGCACAAACCCACACACACACAGATATATCTATGTATATATATATATATATATATATATATATATATATATATATATATATATATATATATATATATATATATATATATATATATATATATATATATATATATATATATATAAATATATATGTATGTGTGTGTGTATGTATGCATGCATGTATGTACGTATTTATATAGCATAAAGTTTTAAAAAGCCAAAGGTGGTGTTTATATTTTAAAGTAATTTTTTGCATAGAAGCAAATTTTTTTGTATATAAATTGATTCCACTTATTGAAGTTTTATTTTGAGTAATAAATTTAAAATTTAAGTTAAAATATTTTAGAATAAGACAATTATTAACTTAATGACATGAATTCAGCTTTACTTGGGAACAAATTTAAAAATAGTTTTTTAACTAATCATTTTATGTCCAGATAAACATTGGTTAACTCTACATTTTATGATCACTGTAATAATGTCACAAAATAATAGCAAATGCACACAAAAGCATTGTGAATAGATTATTTTTCTATAGATATTTTACAAATAGTGAATAAAATATATATTTTCTATTATATATTACACTACCAATTAATACTGGGTGAGAACATTTTTTTTGTTTTTACAAATTTAATCATTAAGAAATTCTGGATGTGTATTTTTAAATATCAGTTCCTATTCTTGAACTTTTAATTAATACTGGATGAGATGAATTTTCTTTATTACTTTTTAGAACAATGACAGCTGATTCTAACATTTATCTAGAAAAGTATTTTTAATGAAGTTATTATTATTTATAATTGAATGTATGGTAATTTTACTCTGAAACGTGTAAGCAAAAAATAACCCTACAAATGCAAGTTACATAGACTTATTAGAGAAAAACCACACACAACAAATGCCTTATTTATTGCTGACTCTAAAGGGAAGCTTTTGACAAAACACAGTAAATAACTTATTAGATTAACAGGAATAGGTACACACTTTTGAGCTTTCTAATGAAACATAATTTTTGTGGTAAATTAATTTCTAAAACGCTTCTAAGGAAACCAAACAACAATTGTAAATAATTTAGGTATCCACAATACCAGTGGGACCCTGGTTTACATGGAATTTTAGACATTTAAAAATCAAAATTTACCGCTCCCAAATCTCAGAGTCATGCTACAGTCTGGTCATATATACATTGGTGATTTTTAACTTTTTTTTCAGTATATTAATTGCTTTTTAATTTAATTTCTGCTAGTTTAAAAAAATGTAACCATTTAAAACAACCCATTGTGCATGAATCTGGAATTTTGGAGAGCAGATAACAAATGAAATGGGTTTAAAACAAAATAGAACATACATTTATGAACATGGGTATAGTCAGTATGGGGAGAACTTTGGCCGTTCCGCTGCCTTGAATGCTGACGTAGCTGTGAGTCCCACCCTCATTTTGGTTTGCAGCGGTTTCCCACCTGCCATTGCTGAAGGTGCGGATAGCGAGCAAGCAATCGCGATGGATGATGGAGGTCCCTGGGCACCAAGAGATGCGGGGTCGACCAGCTGACCCATGCCATTCAGGCCGGCCATGCCATTCAGGCCGGCCATGCCATTCAGGCCGGCCATGCCATTCAGGCCCAGCATACCTGGTGGTGGTAGCGATTTGACAACAGTCATGGCCATGGGGTGGGGGGGCAATGGAGGCAGGGGGCCAGCCACAGACGACACAGGGGGCAAGGAGGCAGGGTCAAGGGTCAAGGTCTTATGCAATTCCATGCTGAGGATGAGAAAAAAAAGAAAAAAAGGGGGGAATATTAGGCATACTGAGTAAAACAGACACACAGTGATATGGGTATGTAAGAAAATAAGGGTGGACAGAAATATAGATGAGCAAACTAAAGAAACAAGTGATGAATGAAATGGATGTGAAGGAAAGCTAGATATTATGAAGACAACAAAAGCAATTTAAATGTTGAAAATTTATTACAGCTAAAATTTGACCTCATCCCTGATAAAGAGTTCAGTTGAAAAAAACCCAAAATCAGCACTTATTTAAACAAATCAATTAAAACATTTTTTTCTTGCTCATTGTAGCTTAGAGAACCTATATTTTTCTCCAAATTGGAAATTTTAAAATTTTGCAATAAATTCTAAAGTATTTGACCTGATAAAATGAAAGACAGATAACAGCAGAGGTGTGAGAGTGAAAAAAATATTAAAAAGGTCCCATCAACCAAAGACAGATCATGCTGCGTTAATATTTATATGGGACAGTAAAATGGGGCTTCAAGCTGTCACAGGGGATTGCTCTTTCAGTCCTCCCCCCCCCCCTTTACACGAGAAACAATAACCTAAAGAGAGTTTGGACATAGGGCTAAACTTATTGCCATACTTTTAAGTTTTAAATTTCCTGTACGTTTTGATATTTTGCTTTAAATATATTTTTGAAACTTGGTCTTTATTTGTAAACATAAAGTAAAGATATTTTTCTTGCTATAGTTTTTAAATTATACAACGTTTCTTTGCCACATATAAATACTTTTAAAACTGTATGTTAGTGTATTTGAATTTGAACTGACATGTTGTTTGTTATTTGCTATAAAAACGAGTGTGTGTTAAATACAACAAAATGAAAATGAGACTGAATTAGAATTAAGACATTGTGATTGCACAAACATTGTTTAGTAACTATTTAAACATTTCTTTTATAAAGTGAAGTCACAAATATTAAGTTACAAAACACAGTGACTTATCAAAAAATCTACAACATTATAAGGAGGGATAATGGGGTTTACAAAATCTACCAGACAGACTGTCAAGGTGGGGGTAAGCGAAGAGAAGAGACAGAATAATGATGATGGTAAAATGCCATTACATGCAGTGTAAGTGTGTAATCTAAACAAAAGGGGAGATTATTAGTGGTGATCATAAGGGGGTTTAAGCTCTGAAGAAATGTTGTTTATTTTTTTTTTACACACAAGTTTCAAAGAAATATAAAGCATTACAACAGCTACAAAAGGCGGCCAGTTTAACAAGGGAAGCATAACCGAGTGGAGAGATTCAACACCAAAAGCGGTGCAAGAGTTTGGTTGGGAGGAACAATAAGTTAGGGAGGCGACCCCCTACCATACCCACCCCATGTTCAAAGAAGGGCATTCATCCTATTTGGACACCAAATTTGTTTTTCTCCTAAAAAGAGAAATCTCAGCACAAAATAATTAAAAAAATTATCAAAACAATTCATGAAGGTCAAATGAGGTTGCATAAAAGTGCTTGGTGTAAACACACAAGTGATACTGTCTTTGGTTGAATAGAATAGATAGTAAACAAAATATGCTACAAGCTTTTAGAATCACTTCTGTCGTTGTACAATCTCAGACCATCCAATTTCTTAGTGAGAGACCAATGATATTTGGCTAAAAATAATATAGAGTATAGAATATATAAACATTGACAGAGTTCAACTGAGTGTGTTGACGCAGATTATGAGATCATTATAAATTATGTCTGTGTATACTGTATATATATATATATATATATATATATATATATATATATATATATATATATATATATATATATATATATATATATATATATATGCAATTTTAATTATATGTATCCATGTAATTGTAAATATATATATATTTATAAATAGATAATATATGTTGCTGAAACAAAAAAACAATAAATATATTGTGTTATGAGAAAATATTACATGTTTTGCAACCATAAACAAATAAGAAAATTACAATTGTTTATCATGCAACAGTTCTACAAACTCTCCATTGATTAAAAATGAAGCAAGTCTGAAAGATAACAAATTTACGTACAAAGTAGTTTTCAAACTTAACAGAACGTAACACAAAATAAGATGATACTGATATATGAAAAGGTAGAGTGTTTAAAACTATGAAAAATGATGTCTTGGAGTATAAATATGCTGACAATTTTTTTTCTTAATATAAATCCAGAATTACAAGATAAACTTTGAAAAAAAATGCTTTCAATTTTTTGAAATAAATTAAATGAGATATAAAGATCAAGTTTTTTTTTAGAAAAATTTAAATATTAATTCAGTCAAATTTTATGCTTAAAAAATATAACTATAGATTAAATAATATTGATATAAAATGAATGTAAGACAATTGGATGTTTAAACTTCTTGAGATATTATATACTGAGTTTAACAGCAACACGTTTGACATAACACAGCTGTGCATGCCAACATCAATAAATAGTGTAAAATTAAATAAGTGATGCTTTCATCTTTTTTTGTACTGCTAGTACTATTTTTGTACTGCTAGTACTATTTTTGTACTGCTAGTACTGTTTTGTAGCATCAGAGCAGAAGAAAAGCATCAGATCATCTTTCAAAGCGTTTAAAAAAAAATTATATAAATAAATGAATACACATACTTGTGCTGAATCAAAATAAATGTAACAATAAGACAAGTATTGTTCACAACCATGATGTATTGACATGGAATAAAACACTCAAGACAATAAAGGGTTAATGTCTGTTGTGTTGATATGTGACAGCAACACGTCTTTGTGTTTTGGTTTTAATTTATCTGGTGTAGAGTATAAACCACAGTTTGGAGCATCTCTTGTTAAATATTCAAAAACCTGACTTGTGATAGGGCAGGCCATAGTCTTTGATTTGTGTTGTATGGATATTTTGTTTTCTTCTAAGAGAAATTTAAGCATGCGATCAAACACTAGGAAAGACAACTGTACCTTAACCAGAGCCTGTTGCAGCGTTAATTGCCGCAGAGAAGAAAGAGAGTAATAGAACATGAAAACATTTTGAATTTTATAAGAATGCAAATATCTTTGTCTGCAACATAACAAGCACTACCACACTAACAGGTTTTTTAAAAAGTAATGAAAAGTCATTTCCAAGACAATTCATCTTTAGATTTCCTTATTTGCTATTAAATATTTTTTTCACTAGCTGAAAAAAAAATTCCAATATAATTTTCATATACACTTTGCACTAAGAAATGACTCAATTACTTTGTTTAAGATGTTGAGAAGCCAGTTTCTGTTCACTTTCATAAAACAAAATCCATTTTCTTTAAAAATAATTTGACTGATAAAACAAAGACAAAATCAAATAAGCTTTATATTCATTTAAAAAAAAGACTAAACATTTTGAGATGGCTACTTATTTCTATATGTTTTGCCTAATGCCTAGTTGCTAAAGTTAGTAGAAACAAACTTTTTAAAAAAAATAAGAAAGTCTAATACAACTGTTTTTTCACTTTTATTATTAAAATTTCAAATCTTTCAATGCAACAATACCGGTATTTGAAAAAAAAAAACACAAACAAAATAAAAATAATAAATCAAACAAATTCGCCATGCACTTCAATAAAAATAAAATCACTGCAGATGTTGTAAAAAAAGTTTTCCTGCAAAACACCCAACTCATATTGCTTTGTCTGTGTATTTTGTAGCTTTTACTTTGTAGCTTATGTTCTTCTGTTACATTTTAAAAAGTTCTAAATTAGGTTTTGTGCTTTTCAGATCAAGTCTAATACTATGGAAGATGTTTTGCAGGCAAAACTGTTGATTTTTACTTAATTTATATATCTTATCTTTAAATAAACACTGCATAAATATATAGTATAATAATAATTACATTATAGACATGTATTATATCTGTAATAATAATTGTTAATTAAAACAAACTAAACATATCATGACATTCATAATTTTAGTCCATTTAAATAAAATTTGACCAGTGTTAAAAAAATTATAAAGATTGCCAGATTTTTATCTTGTGAAATCATGTCTTAGAGTTTTGGAAGTTTGGGAAGGGTGGGTATGTGGACTTAACGTTTGTGATTCTAAGGAAAAGGGGGGGGGGATTGGTTCATTTTTAAAATTCAACCATAGGATAGATTACATCCAGGTAGATAAAGAAATGCACAACAGTTTTGTAGGGAGTGTACTAGTTAACTCCAAATTTCTACATCTCACACTTGTGTCTCTTGTGGTTTAGCTAGTCTTTGCTTCAAATCTGTTCTATGTGGTGGAAACTAGTTTTATGTTTTACTGATATTCATAAGCAAAAGATATAAATTTCATGCACTGTTTTTTATACTGCTTACACAATTGCATTAATTTGTTTTTTAAATATATTTTCATACCCATTAAAAAATATTTTTTTTCTTATTACATCATTAATGAAATTTGATAACACTAATTACACCAGAATATTATTTTATATTGCTAAAGTATATTTTAGATTACATTAGGGGGACTTTTTATGATTCAATGCTTTTTTATGCCTTGTGATTATTTGCAACAGATAAGAAATTCTAGTTAAATTTTTAAAACAGCGCACGTTGTGCTGTGTAAATTAAAAACTCAGATTTATTTATGATTAAAAAACACAACTTTTTATTCAAATGAAATGTCACTGCAATTTTTCTTTTAACTAAAGGAAACAAACATAATCACTGATTGAAAGAACATACTGATGAAAATTGTGTAATTAAAACTGCTTTAAAATATATCTTGAAATCAAATTGTATGCAGTAAAGCAATAACTGGGGACATGGCATACTTTAAAATAACTAAGGGAAATTTATTTTTCAAAGGGGCCTCAATCCATGCACATATAATTATTTCATGTGTCACTTTAAAATGTCATTTGATTTTTGGAATGTAAAATAAGATTAATTATATTCAAATATTGTATATATAAATATGAATAAAGCAACAATTATTAATTGAAAAAAGAACTGAAGTAATTTGTGTGTGTTTCATTTCTCTTCTCTTCTACATGCAGTAAAGCTAAAGTAAGTTTTTAGGGGTTATATGTGTAGTTCACATATATGAAAATCACCTAATGGCTTACATGTGTTTAGCACACTAAGAAGACACAAACATAGGAAAAAATGAAATACACAAGATAAAAATCTGGCAAAGACCTATCACAATATGGCAGCATTGATTTACGGAAGATTAGAAAAAATATTTACAGTTATATACATACACTTAAAAGTGGTTAAATAATGATTTTATTTATGTATGATCCTAAGATCCACAAGTAAAAGAAATTTTAAAGAAATCTAATTTCTTAAAAAAAAAACAACTACTGAAATATTTGTGTGTAAAACTAAATATTAATAGTAAAACTAAATCCTAAAAAGTAAAATAGATTATGAAGATAAAATGCAAACAACATTTCATTTTGGAAGACGTTAAAATGAATTCTGATAATAAATATATCATTTGATATTATAAAATAGGCTCTAGAAAGATCTTTTTTAAAATTGTTTTGAGAGATCAGAAGTTGAATTGAAAAGCAAACTTTGAATTAATTTAATTATTTAACTAAGCAACATATTGATTAATTGAGCATCTGATAGATATGTTCCATCTTTAAGATTAAATCACAGATGTATTTTGGTATATATATATATATATATATATATATATATATATATATATATATATATATATATATATATATATATATATATATATATATATACTGAAAAAAAACTAATACTGATATGTGAAATAAAATAGAAAAATAATTCCAATTGAAAACAGATAAATTAAGATTAATATGATTAAATGCACAAGACTAAGTCAAAACTAAAAATCTATTGCACATTAAATGGAATTGTAAAATATTAGTGACTTTTGTATAGATGCCTTTTGTATGATCTATATATGTATTTGGCAGTTGCAAATTCATTTCAGAGTTAATATTCTTCAATATATAATTAAGCAAAAAATATTTATTTATATATTTGTAAAAAAATATTCACACTAAGTAAAATTTGTTTAATATCTCTTCAAAATAAATCTCAGTTAAGTATACTAGAACTCCTATTTATCGCTTGAGTTAGTATTTGATTGCAACAAGCTAATGACATGAGCACAAAAGCTGCAAGTTTAATCTAACAGGCTGTTGAGTATATCCTAGAGTTGCTGATTGCCAGCTTGTATTGATTTAAATGGCTTCAGGTGACCAGATTTTTTATAGTTTTTTTCTTGTTTGATTGCTCTTGTCTGAAGTCACTCTAGGATTGGTGCTGTACAGTGCTGCTGTGCACGGCTAAAGCACAGTGCTTGTGGTGTGCATTGAAAAACTGTACAGCACATTGCTGTGCCATGATTCACCTGTACTGAATAGGATAAATGAAGCAAGATTGTTGTACCAACCTAGTACTGATCAGGTACTGCGCAAGTCCAATACATTCTGGGGATCCTGTGATGGTCACTTTACGGTCAGAAGATCCATCTTCTGCGTTTGAGATCTTAATATTTGCACCAGAAACTTGTCTGAAAGAGTTCAAGGAGATAATTAATTTTGTATGGTCAATTAATTAACTAAAACATTTTATATCCAAATAATTAAATGTACCAACCCTCATAAGCTGTTCTTAATCGTTAACAAAAACTTCAATCGTTAACAAAAACTTAAATTTTTGTTTAATGAAAGGTTATCAGTGCATAAATTGGATTATTTTATTTGCTTCCAGTGAATCAAAGAGCTAATGTCTAATAAAATTGAACAAAGACCAATAAATCTGTGATGTATATGCATTGAATTTCATCTTTCCAGAAGAGATGCCCTCCAACATAATTAACAACTTGTTATAAGCCATTGATTCCAATTATAGCCTGTTTTTCTTTTTGGATTTGCTTCCATAGTCTTTGTTCAACCAAGAACAAACTACAAGGCAGCAGTTGTTTGATCTTGGAGTTGTCTCTCCTAGAAAAGTTGCTGTCCCCAGCTGTGGAGCCCCATCTGCCCGAGGGTTCGAACTCAAGACTTTTCAGTTTAGCAGCCATGAGCTTTACCTACTCAACCACGCCGACCCCTATGAGTTGAATTATGAGTGGCATATTTGGATGGAGTGTGAGAAACACGTGATAGAAAAAAATTTGTACCTGATCTCATTGATCTTCTGCCCACCCCTACCAATGATACAGCCAATCAAATCATTTGGGATGTTCATTTCCTGGGCCTGCTGGCTGATGCTGGGCAGGGGTTGTGGCTGGCCTGGATTACCTGCCCTTGGGGTGTACTGAAGGCTGGGACCTAGACCTGAAAAATAAACTTCTGTTTTGTGCAGGCCCCTAAGGACTAAGTTGCCAAAGTGTAACAAACTCTTACCATTTCAAAAAAATTTAAATTAAAAAACTTAAATATTACAAAAGGAAAAGCTTTTGATTTATCTTTAAAACTTGCTCAGTAAAAGTATCCAGTTGTTAAAGTTGTAAATCAAATTTAAAAATTAAATTTAAAATTCATATATATTTTTATGTAAAAACAATTTAGCTAAAATATATAAGTATTGGCGTGTAAACCAAGGCTTCAAGCAACATCTAATTTTAGTTTCTTACAGAGAGAGAGGACAACAACCAAGTGTTTGCAAACTAACAGAGAGAGGGAAAAATAATAGATGATTCACTTGACTTAGTTATACCAAACTTTTATTTCACAACTGTAAATTGATATATTTTAATAAAATTCTTCTAGTTTTATGGAAAGCTTTTGTCATTTTAAAATCAATTTTTGTTTTTACAAACTTACCATTACTAGTAAGCTTTGTATACAGCATTACATTTTCTAGTTTAATAAAGCATAAATTCTTTTACAAAATTAATGAAAAACATTTTAGAACTTTATCAATTCAGTATGGTATACTAAGTTCCAGTGATTTAGATAGGATATAAATAATTTAAAAAAATAATGCGTAAAAATAACAGGAAACTCCCATTATCCTGTACCCATAAACTAAAATGAGCACATACCGAAAAAATCTGTTGACTTGGATGGGTTAGGTACCATTACTAGAAATAATCCAAAACAAAAACATGCAAGTATTGTTTCTAAAATGGTATGAATTGTTGAGAAAATTAAAATAATTACACACTAGATTGGAAACTAGAAAAGAAAAAAAAGTCACCAAAATTATAAAGGTTTGAAAAGTTTTGTGTTATATCAGTTAACTTTAAATTTTAAATATTTCTTTTACAGTGTCAGGTAGCGGTTGAAACAGTTGCTTTATAGAATTATTAAAATAAATGCACACTAACATAGAAAGCAGTCTAAATTTAAGGCAAACAAAAAAAAATTGTGTTGTTGAAAATTTATTAAAGAAGGATGGATTAATTTTGTGTAGATAGAGATTGAGAGAAGCATATGTTTGAGAAAACAGTTGGGGATGATTAATGGATTAGCTGATAAATAAGTGTTTCTTTGCATCAGACAGATTAAGTTTAAAGGGAGGTCAATGCAGAAATGGTTAAGTAAAAACAGCTCACAACAAGGTTAAAATTGTACCTGGGCCACTTTCAGAAACATATGGGGGAGATAACTGGCATATTTTTTTTCAAATTATTAATAGTTCAACATTCCAAAACACAAGGCATCATGCATGATGATAAAAACAGAAAAAAATAAACATTTTTTAAAAATTTAAAATTAAATAAAATACATTCAGATGCATTTCTGTTTTAGAAAAAAAAAGAATTTTTTTACGAAAATGAGTTTTGGACTGTAAATAAAAAATATGCAGCCAGTGTTTGAAAGAATATCACACATTGGTTATCAACTAATGAGCATTTCTTTACACTTCATTGTCAAACTAATAGTTTTAAAAAGCAGTTTTAAAAAAAAGTGGAGGGTAAATATTTCTAACAACTCCCGACAACCAAGTTTTGGAAACGCGAAATAATTTCTAAAAGTGGCCCGCAGCACTAGTTTCCATCACCAACAATTTGAAGTGGGCGAAAATTCTTCTTACTTAGGCAAGGTGGTGGTGGTTGTGGTGGTGGGGGCAGTGGACCGGGCCACAAATGTGGAAGGGCCGCGGGGCCTAGACCTACAGAAAACAAACAAACAAACGTACACACCAGTTAGTGCTTAGTCCACTCTATGAAAGTTAAAAAAAAAATTTTTATAAAAGAAAAAAAAACAACAGCAATGAAACATGATTGACATAAACAAATTGTAGCATAAAATATTTTTTTAAGAAAAAAAAAGTTTTAATTTCATAATGTAAGTCCCACCATAAACAGCGTATAACAGAAATGGTTGCATTAATTTACACAATTACTTAAGCAGGTATAATACTTCAGACTTACCTCAGCAACCAGTAAACTAACCCCCCTCCCCGATATCATTAATAAATTCATCAAATCCAACTGAAATATGCTCTAAAGAAAGTATGCACATTGATCTGTTCTTTACAAGGAAAACTATTCTTTCTTTTAAAATGCACAGATAATTAATCTTTTTGGCTGAAATAATACATGTTCACAGTTGTTTTAAGAGAGAACAAATGCTGCCAATAGAAACTTTTCTATTTTAAACTGACATCATGACATTGACATCATGACATTGACATCATGACATTGACATCATGACATTGACATCATGACATTGACATCGCCATAAAAAGTAACTTGATGAGTGTTAACATTACAATGGGGATGTGAAAGTTTGTTTAGAAGTTTATTGGTTTATGTTATTTTATGCCGAAGACGGCTTTTTAGAAACCAAATTGAAAAAAAAATTTTTTTCACTTTTAAAAAAATCTGGTATTAATAAGCTAATCAGTTAAACAGTAGAACACATTTTTTTTCCTCAATCTTAATGCCATTTAATTTAGCTAAAAGTGTTTTTGTGTGGGACATTTTGGTTCTGAGAGTTAAGGCATCTTAGATAATATAAATTCTATTTCAGCTGGTGGATGAAGCTAAAATTAGAAATAACATCTGCATAATTTCTTTTTTAGTAAATGTTTTAAAGGGTTGACAAATCTCCAAAAGTAATTAGTTGTGTGCTGAATATTCTATAAACATGGACGGAAACAGCTGTAGCAGTTTAAAATACTATAATATAAAAATGTTAAAACAACAACAAAGTCATTCAGTTGAGGGAACAAAAAACTAGAGGGCAGTAACAGTCAGACTTGACCCTTGATGAGGCCTGTGAGAAAAGGAATACAATACCATAACACTATTGGAAATAAAGAGGCATGCCAAATCTGGACTCTGCTCATCACAGAGGATGCAAGAAAAAAAGACAGGGGCAGAAAAAGAGCCTTTAAATATTATATCGAGAAAGACTGAAATTGAAAGCCAGAAATTATAAACAGAATCCAGCCTGGGTTAGCAAACCAAACAAGACTAAATGGCTCTCATCCAACTTCTGGGGCTTACTTTCAATTTGATTGATTGTGTGTTAGTGAACCAGGAGTTATAGTGTAGACATTGCAATATTTGTATTTGAAATCCTTTGAAAATTTAGATAAAACTACAACTTCTAACAGTTTCAGTAAAAAAAACTTTTTGTCTGGCCAACATGGCGTATGTCGTTTTATTATAGTGTATTTGTTAAGCAAGTTTGGAGCCCAGAAATCAGAGAAGACACACTGGATTAATCTGGTTAGATCAAGTTCTAAACTTGTCCAGCGACAAGATCCACGGATACAAGCGGTGACATTGTCTTACCATTGACTGGCACCAGACTTCCAGGCATCACAGGCTGACCAGAAGGTACCATGGGTATGGCGTGCGCCATCTGCACAGGGTGGTGAAATCCTTTTGGAAGCTGTTCAAAAATAAAACAAAACCCATTTTGTTTTTAACCTTTTATAAACAAAGTAGGGAAAAAAATATTTAAAAATACTTCGTTAAATCTAGCGTGTAATTTTTCTGCAAAAAACAGCTGTAACAAACAACACAATCAAACAAACCATGTGTCCTGGAAACTGTCCATCGGTCATTGGTTGACTCCAGGAATAGGTAAACCTTGGCTAGAATTAGGAAAGAAAATTCAATTGGCAACATTCAAAAAGCCATGTGCCAACACATTCTGGGGAGCTATTAATAGCTGGCCAGACGCAACCAATCACAGAGGCACATTACACTTATGCCCGATATTGTGTTTTTGAAGTTTTTCACTTAAAAAAATAGTTCATTTCTAGCATTAATAGAATAATTACCATGCATTGATTTAATAAAAACAGATGGAAATTATGAAGACAATAAAAACTCTAGTACAGGGGTCTCCAAACTACGGCCCGCGGGCCGGATGCGGCCCGCTAGGTCCTCTCATCCGGCCCGCGGAGATCTTTTTGTCCACGGAAAAAAATGTCTGTTAGAGGTGGCTGAGGAACTTTGCCCAGAAAATTCAAAACAATTTGAAAATGTAGCTTTGGGTAGCTTTGTAGCTTTGCCCACCGTGTTGCAGACATTGGTGAAAACATCGTGACTCAAATAGCGGAAAATGCAAGCACGTTTCACTAATTTTTAATTGCAATGGATGAATCGCCTGACAGCTGTTCCATCTCTCAACTGTTGGTGTTCATTAAAGGTATGGATGAAGACATGAACATAACACAATAGCTGGCTTCCCTACATAATATGTATGGCACTGTTACCGGAGAGGATATATTCAATGAGTTAAAAAACATTTGCTGATTATAACTTGGACTGGACTAACCTCAGTTAATTGATGGGGAAAAGTACATTAGTGGCATAAAGAAAGTCTTGGTTGGACAAGAGAATAATTTGAGAGCAAACTTGGACCTCGAATGTGTTTCTTTCAGATTTTTTTCTCTTGGGGGGGGGGGTACTTGAATTTTGTATATATTTCTATATACATTATATTTTATTTGGGGGGTGGGGGGCGGGCTCCATAACACCGAAGATATGCCTTGAAGAAACTCTGGCCCCCGAAGTAATATTTGATAGTCAATGCGGCCCTCGGTCTGAAAAGTTTGGAGACCCCTGCCTCTAGTACAAGTGACATGTACAAAAATTGTGTAGGAAACAAAAACTAAATATGACAAATAAAATGATTGTAAACCTGATGAATACATTTACTACAGCCTATAGCATGTAAATAAAATGATTACAGAAAAATTAATGGTTATATATGACAGATAAAAGATAAATGATTTTTTTGTCTGGCAAATAAAATGATTTCATGGCATACAAATACAATGATTGTATATCTGAGAAATACAATGATTGTATATTTGAGAAATACAATGATTGTATTTCTGAGAAATACAATGATTATATGACTGACAAATACAATGATTCTATATATAAGAAATACAATGATTGTATGGTGTCAGATAAATACAATGATTGTGTTGTAAAAAATGATTGTAGTGTAAATCTGGGACCAGATTGTTTAATCTTGAGCTTGTGATTTTATGTAATTTAAAAAAAAAATTATTACAATTTTATTACAAAATAAATACTAATTGCTGTTGTTTAAAAAAAAAATTTGTTAGAAACAATAAAGATTCTAAATTTTTTAAAAAATTGAATGTTTGTCTTTATTCTTTATTTTGATATCTTTCTTTTATATATTTTTATGGCTAAGAGAAAAAAGGTTATCTAAATAATTATTATGAAAAGTTTTTTTTCATTCATATTTACTTTGAAATTCTGAGAATAAAATGAACCCCGTTAAAAGGAAAAAGGTTTAGAATGTAAATTTGGTTCAATAAATGTGTGATTTATTTCTGGTCCCAGATTTGGCACACCGAGGTCATACTGACCATGCAAACCTCCTGTCCCGGGAGTGAGGGGATGGTAGCTGGCACTGTGAATCCTTGACTTCCTGAGATGTAGACAGGGGAGAGTAATGGTTTGGGTCTGTACGGTAGGTTAGCTCCCTTGGGTGGGGACTGAAAAAAATAAAAATTTATCATAATCAATTAAAAAGGTATTGTAGAAAATCGATTTTTATTTTATTTTAGCATTAGCAAAAAAAAATGAATTGAAAGTAGGCTTAGAGATGTGTTATGAGATGGATCAATAGATAAATAAGTGGATAATTAAGAATACAAGTGGAAAGTTTAAAAAATTAAATAAATAAATAAATAAGCACACAATCGATTTCATTGTCAAACAGTAACAGTCAGGAAGCCATTGAACGGATATTGTTGGCGACACCCCTTCTCCACCTGAGTTTCTTCCACGCATCTCTACTTTTACCAGTGTCTTCCTTCTTCCCCCCCCCCCCCTCCGAGGAAAAAGGCTGGAAGAAACACTCTTCTCCACCCTCCCTAAAATATCACCACTCGCACTAAAAAAATAACGTATTTCTTAATGTTGATTTTCTGTGTGATAACGATATTCCACCATTCAACAAATCGACGATAATCCATCATTCAATCACTTGATGATAGTCCACCATTCAATCACTTGATGATAGTCCACCATTCAATCACATGATGATAGTCCACCATTCAATCACTTGATGATAGTCCACCATTCAATCACATGATGATAGTCCACCATTCAATCACTTGATGATAGTCCACAATTCAATCACTTGATGATAGTCCACCATTCAATCACTTGATGATAGTCCACCATTCAATCACACGATGATAGTCCACCATTACTTGATGATAGTCCACCATTCAATCACTTGATGATAGTCCACCATTCAATCACTTGATGATAGTCCACCATTCAATCACTTGATGATAGTCCACCATTCAATCACTTGATGATAGTCCACCATTCAATCACTTGATGATAGTCCACCATTCAATCACTTGATGATAGTCCACCATTCAATCACTTGATGATAGTCCACCATTCAATCACATGCAGCACTTAGATGTCATAGTGACAACTTTGAGAGCGAATTCTACGTCATAACTTCTCCCCTTAGTTGCGTGAAGTTTTGATGTAAGACTCTTATAGTTGTGTTACCGTATTTTGGCTAGATATGAAAGACCCCTATAGTTATGTTGCCGTATTTTGGAAAAATTTAGATTGGCGTTACCACGCATGCGCTTGGAGCAAAAGGGAGAAAATTGAGAAAATTGCAAATAAATGAAGCAAACGCATATTTTTGTACTCAGGATATTTATGTCAAAACATATATAAGAAAAATTGTTTTACTCATATATTTACTCAGCATACATTTTGTAACCATCGTGTTTTTATATTTAGCGTACAACAAAAGTAATGTTATGTGTGTGCGTTGAGATGAATGAAAGAGTGATATGTGGGGTGTTGTGAGTATGAGTGTGTGCATGTGTGTGTGTGTGTGTGGGGGGGGGGGGGTCAGTAAGGGCACAAATGCACGTGTCTTAATTGAAACGACAGTGTGACCACAAGATTAACATTTGTTACAGTATTTTGGAAACAAAAACATCTAACATTTGTTACACTACAGTATTTAACCTTCAAGTTTGGAAAAAAAAAAAAAAACATGCGCAGTTTTCCTGTCTCCGCAACGTCTTGCTAATTAAACGTAAGATGATTATCAACTCGCTTCTGTTTAAATGAGTTTACCCTAATTACACCGACCTAATTGACTGTATTCACTGCGGACTGGACAAGATGATGTATCCAGTCAAGCGTAAAAGGAAAGGAATTATTATAAGGTTAACTTTAAATGCTTGCTCTATCTGCATGCTAGATACATTCTAATGTTACACTTCAGGCTTTATTTTATCTTTTGGCTCACAAATGGAACTCTACAGATTTCAAGAACCACACGCTTCGATTCTATCTCATCCACGATTTGACCAGGCACTAGAACTCAGCTGTGAGTTATAATTAATGTGATAGTTCGAATCGGACAAATATTACACACATATTTCACAAATATTACACAAATATTACACAAATATAACACACATATTACACAAATATTACAAACTTTCAACATTCGCCCCCGTTACGTCACCCCGCCCGACACTCCAATGTCCAGTGCCCCCCCCCCCAGGAAAAGAAAAGAACCAACCATGTTCACCTTATATTCGTGCCTCCATGGCGTCGCCACCCCGCCCCAATGTCCAGTGCCCCCCCCCCCCCAGGAAAAGAACAGAACCAACCAAGTTCACCTTATATCCGTGTCTCCATGGCGTGCCCCCCCCCCCCAAGTAAAGAACAGAACCAACCAAGTTCACCTTATATCCGTGTCTCCATGGCGTCGCCCCCCCCCCCCAAGTACAGAACAGAACCAACCAAGTTCACCTTATATCCGTGTCTCCATGGCGTCGCCCCCCCCCCCCCCCCCCCCCCAGGTAAAGAACAGAACCAACCATGTTCACCTTATATCCGTGTCTCCATGGCGTCGCCCCCCCCCCCCCAGGAAAAGAACAGAACCAACCATGTTCACCTTATATCCGTTTCTCCATGGCGTCGCCCCCCCCCCCAGGATAAGAACAGAACCCACCAAGTTCACCTTATATCCGTGCCCTTCATGGGCGGTCTCCCCCCCCCCCCATGTAAAGAACAGAACCAACCATGTTCACCTTATATCCGTGCCTCCATGGCGTCGCCATCGTCCACACTGGCCGTCACACCATAGGCGTGACCAGAGCCTACTGGTCAGGGGTGGACTTGACCTTAGATGACCTTAGCAGCACCGCGAGACTGACCTACGATGGCAGCACGTGTCCACAAGGTCACCAAACGATGGTGGGCTAGAACCAGCCTCGCTTTCAAATACAATCCAAACTTTTGCAGAAAGCTGAGCAGAAGTTTTTAACTCATTTGTTCCAAATTTTTTTTAGCAAACCACAGAACTACTAGCCAAACATCAGAAACTTGGTCAGTAGAACATAACAACAAACCTCACACTATAAAGAGAAAAAAACAACAACTCCGTTTAAGTTTCATGAACGATTTTCCAAATGGAAAAAGAAGACAGTTTTCACAGAACTCGATAATTAGACTGCTTAAACAGAAGAATCAAAAGCTTGTTAGTGTTACGGGCTTTATAAGAGAATTCACGAAGAATAAAGTTAACAGCAAATGTCGCACGGCAAATTACGGTAAAACTAAAAATATTCAGAATTTCAATATCTCAAAATAATGCTTTTAAATATAATTGCCTTTAACTTAAGAAAGTGATTTTTCCGAAACCATAACGCAGTAAATTAAATAAAAGTTTAAATTTAAAACAAAACAAAAAAAACGACTTTAGAGAAGATAATTTGGTTTTTCGAATTCAAAATCAAATCTTAGGTAACTAAAATCTAGAATCCTGCAAGTACAAGAACACACCATCGTTGGTTTCTACAAAATGTTGGCACTTTCAATACATTACTGGACGGACGATCTAAAGTAGCAATAACACATTGAACCACAGAGCTATCTAATGTAGTTATGTCACATTCATCAAGCAAACTGCTGTAACTGGCACACAACGAACCATCGAGCTAGATAACATAAGTATGACACATGGAACCACAGAACTTCCTAATGTAACCATCAAGCAAGAATCACCAAGCGAACACGGACCTGAGTGAAGTAGGACCCGCAACTCGCAGGGTAGAACATGCTTGCATTTGACCTTTGCATGGAAGCGTCATTCACAGACATCCACCGTCTCGAAATTTTGAGTGTTTACAGTAACGGCGTGGCTAGAACAAATGGCGGCTGTTCTGCCCTTCTCGAGTCTCCGCCTATCGGAGAACACCACACCCAGGGTTATCTCGCCTTGCTCAGGCCCAAATGTGTGCCTTGTCTTTTTTATGTGCATGCTGGCTTACTGGAACACTCCCTGCTGAGGTAAGGTGAGGTAGATACCTTGATGAGGTAAGGTGAGGTAGATACCTTGATGAGGTAAGGTGAGGTAGATACCTTGATGAGGTAAGGTGAGGTAGATACCTTGCTGAGGTAAGGTGAGGTAGGTACCTTTATGAGTTAAGGTGAGGTAGATACCTTGATGAGGTAAGGCGAGGTAGGTACCTTTATGAGTTAAGGTGAGGTAGATACCTTGATGAGGTAAGGCGAGGTAGATACCTTGATGAGGTAAGGTGAGGTAGATACCTTGATGAGGTAAGGTGAGGTAGATACCTTGGTGAGGTAAGGTGAGGTAGATACCTTGCTGAGGTAAGGTGAGGTAGATACCTTGATGAGGTAAGGTTAGGGAGATACCTTGATGAGGTAAGGTGAGGTAGATACCTTGATGCGGTAAGGTGAGGTAGATACCTTGATGAGGTAAGGTGAGGTAGGCACATCAGGCGACCACGTGAATGACGTAATATTAAACAAAGCGTATTAAAGTTTGACGTCCATTAAGAAAAAACAACAAAGGTAATCATCACGTTAAGATGATTATGGGGTGTGGACATTACTCAAACAATTGGCCAGTTTTAGGAGATAATTGGGTCAAGTCAATGAATGATACAAGAAATTGACGAGCTAGAGGGAGCGAAGCGCTAGAGAGACAGAACAATCTTGTTACGCTATTCGAGGGCAACTTTTTTGATGGGTTTTGAACGACGGCACATTTTGTTCTATGTTATATAACAATTAGCCCGGGGTGAAATTTAGGGGGGGGGGAGGAAAGATGGTAGGAAGAGGAGGCGGGGGCGGGGAGGAGGAAGATGGAGATTTGAAAAGCAAACAAAGGTAAATAAATCTCGTGAGATAGAGTGAGATAGCCGACAAGGTTATGTTTGACTGCAGGCGAACATCAACACAGCAGTATCGAACATCGTCGCTAACAGACGCCGGAACATCCTGGCAACCGGCGCATGCGCAGTAAATGCCAATGGATTACAGAGATCTAAAGCTGAACTTTAATGCAATGTAGAGAAGAAAAA